TTTTTTTTTTTTTTTCTTTTGATTTATAGTCATTTTCATATATACAGTATCTGTAAGAAGGCTAGCACTAGCTACAGCTACAATGAAAGAAAAAAGTAATGAAATTTTACCCTTGATTAATACTAAAGTAGGATTGTGTAAGAACATAAATGAGTTTAATTTGTATATCACTTGGAATGTGGGTCTCATACTCTCACTGTTAACTCGTGGCCTTCAGGTAAAAAACATCCTTATTGAGCATGGCACTGTAGACTCATATGGTGAATCTTCAGTGCCAGCCTCTGGGAAATTAGACTGAATAATTTTATGTCTAATTAGGCTGCAATCACAACAGTGGACTAACTAGTTGGTGGATCAAATATGGATACCCACTTAAAAGCTTGCTGCCTAATCTTCTTATAGGAACTGAATAGATTGCCGACAGGGATTATGCAACAAGCATTCAAGTGTGTCAGCCATATTTGATCCGCAGACTAGTTAGTCCACTGTTGTGAATGCAGCCTTAGAGATAACACTTGTGATGACCAAGTTGTAAGTAAATATTTAATGTAAGGGATAGTAATACATTGCAAATTATGCAGTTGGTAATGAAGCTGTTGTGAAGACAGTGTCAAGTATCTGCTAAGTACTGAGTATACCAGAAGATGATGGATTTATATTATATTATGGATATTGCTTGATAGCCTCCATTTTCCCACCTACTGGTATGTCTCTTTCACATATTAATATTAATATGAAATGATAAATGTGGCAAAACTACCAGTGTGATTAATTATTTGTACAGTAATTTATTTGACATTTTCAAAAATCATTGTTTCTGCAATATATTAGCTGGGAAGTAATTCATTACATTCACTGAAATCAGCAAACAATCTGTTTAATAACAAAAATCACAATATTGTATGTATACAGGCATATAAAGAAGATTACATGCATTTACACCAGTTTCGGTATCTGAAAGATGCTCTTCTTGAGAGCACTTAATCAGTGCATTGGCACTTAAAACTTACAACTTGATAAATGTCAAATTTGCATAGCTCATTAATTGATGAGTATTTGTTTACAGAACTGGAGCTGATGCAGTTTATTGTTACCAATTGAATAGTTATTAACCTTTCTCAACTTCATATTTCAGGTTGGTGATAACAAGTGCACACGACAAAGTTGTCAACTGTCTATTGGAACTGGCACCTGTGCATGGTGACCATTCAAGACCAAAATCAATACACAATTTGTAAAATTGCTGTTTCCCACTACATAATTGATCCACTGTTGCCTAACAGAGTGGTCGCTATTGGATAAACCAAGTCAGGTTGGTGGCAAGACCTTGGTTCAACAGATATACTAGAATGGGCTGTGGTTCCTCTACAGGGAATGGCTCCTCAGCTACTTTAGAAGGCAAAGAACCTTATAATAATAATGTGGAAAAAGAGAATAATAAACAGATTCAGAATGGTCACATTCAAAATGGACAAGTCTGTCATGAAGAGAATCATGAGGAACCTGTTACAAAAGAGATGATGAATGCGGATCAAGATCAGAAAGATAAACCTGCAGCAGTTCGGACTTCCACACCTGTTCCTGTTTCTCCCGGACTAATAAAAAACAATGATGTTAAAAAGAGCCTAAGGACTCCTTCACATTCTGCTGAATCCAATAGCAATCGTCATGAGGTTATAGTAGAAACACATGGTAAGTATGAAATTGGGCTGGTAGACCTGTGGTTGCCTTCTCCCAGTCTGTTATGTTTGATATAAGAAGTGTATGTAAACTGCAAAGTCATTCCCAATGTTTGGCGCATTGGATTTATTGTTTACTTTTTAAAACTGTGCCCTTCTCCCCATCAGTAGCACTTGGCTAATAACTGTGCTTAAGTTTGTTTTGAAAAGCCATTTCTTTAGAATGTATAAATGGCCTATCATCTTAAACATTAAAATGATTGAATACAAAATGGAAAAAAAGAAAGTGTTATTGATAATTTGACCAAGATTTGAAATGTCAAAAATTGTTTTTGTGATTGTGATCTGTAGCCATTGTTCAAACAGAATTTGTTGTCATTTAGAAAATCACTTTTCTTGAAAAGATAATATATATTGGTAGCATTAAACTTGCTAATCTTAAAAACCAGAAAAAATTTTTTTTTCTTTTTTTGCATGTTTAACATTTTAGGGAATCATGCCATTGTGCATAGTCTTGTTTAGGATAGTCATGTAGGCTATATGAACCAAGCAAAGTTTTAAAGTTTCTTTTTGAATATTGAATTGCAACTTATTTAGGCAAATAAATTAGAAATAAGTAACTGCATCATTTACAATGAAGTCAGCCTGTACTACTCGAAGCTTCAAACTTCAGACAAGAGCATATTATCACCAGTCAGCCACAAACAAACACTATGGAGTGGTGCTCATGTTGATCCCTCATAAAAGCCAATTAGGTGACAGAAAATCAATAATTTATTCCAAATATTCAATAATGTAATTGGTGGCTTGTCTGGGGATCAAGGCCAACATTAAGAAGGTTGTGACTTAAAGGTTGTAGTACTCTGGTACATATAGGAAAACATTAACAATGTTTTGACAAACAGTAAATGGCAACAGTTTCTGATGAATTAATCAGCTTTCAAGACTGTTTAGACATTCAAGATTTAGAATTGATGCACTTATTTTTATGCAGTTATATATACCTGCTTCATTTCTTTTATGTACTAGTAAGAATTGTAGTAAACAAAGACAAATTTGTATTATTGTTCATCTTGTTTTATTAGTGGTTGATGTATCTGTGAATTATTTTTTCATTTACTTTTATTCTGTTAATTTTCTCCCTAGAAACTCCAAAGGCCATTGCATTTGATGTTGCATTAGATGAGCAGAATGGCCTGAACCAGAAGCCTGCTCCCAAACGCTTCCAAAAGTTGGAACCTCTCAGCACAGCACCCAAACTAACACCAGAATTGCTGGAGGAAAAAATGAAACAAGTAGAAATTAAAAGAGAACAGGTAATTAACTTAGGCTAAGTGACACAGTAATAAAAAGCATAATGTATTGCAGCTTTAAATTTTGTTACCACACTTACTATAGGTTTTTTATTTTTCTATTAAACAAAATAAAACCCATTGTATCTGGTAGCAGAGTGTCTATTTGTAAACAAAATATTGACAAAATGTGATAATAATGCAATTTTTGGATTGTAGGAATTGGAAAGAGTGAAGACAGCTTCTAGAAAGTCATCCAAGAGGAGAAGGGAGCTGATACAAGCAAGGGAGTTTGAAAGACAGCAACAGCAGTACAATCAGGTAGGATAGAATGTGCAATAACTAATGTTACGCTGTATCAAATACTCTAAAAAGCTAGATATCTATAGCACTGCAATATGATTAAAATATGTAATCACTGCTAACTTTAACTGCATGTATATTACTCAACACCCTGTTCATATTCAAATTAAAAATGCTGGGGCTGGTTCAAAAGGACTCAAAAGGAACTACAATGCAATTATCTGTGTTTAAATACACTATAAACATTTTGCCTGGGTATTTCTGTGTTAGATGGAGGAACAGCAAAAGTCAGCAGGAAAAAATAGAGAAGTTAGGCAGCAAGAAATTATTGAAAAGCAGAAAAGAAGGGAAGAACGAGCCAGGAAAGCAAGGGAGAGGGTAAATACTAAAACTTCCTTCTAATGTTCTCATGATTTATTCATTTGCTAGTTCTGAATATGTGGGTCTGATATTAATAGTCTGAAAGAATTTGAGTTAGATGAAAAATAATGCTGATTTGACTGAGATGCAATAATTAATTAGTCCTGGTATAAGCAAATTTCACAGTCTACAGTACCCATGGTTGGTATGATTTCTGCCTTCTGATTTTTGTGGGCAAATAGATCAGGATGCTGTCATAAAATGTTTGCATTAATACTGTACTGCCACATTATCAATTAATACATACTGTGCTCAGCTGCGGGTATATACATGTACATTTCAAGGATGTGACCCATTCCTCTCTGAATCTCTAGTTTGTGATACTCTGTGACAAAAGAGAACTTTTTAATTTATTATCTTAAAGAATGTTGAATATCTTGCTTTGTCATTATTTAGGCATTGAAACTTCAACAGATGAACACAGAAGAACTTGATTTTGATGTTGAAAAAGACGAAGCTTTTAATGCAGATGACAGTAAGTAACAGAAACAGCCTCATATCTGCAATATTGGTTTTAGCCTTACATTCAAAACATTATGTTCTGACAAGGAGATCTTGCTTTTTACCTATCATGATTAGCACATCCTTAGAACCAATGCAGTCAAAACTGGAAAATATTGGAAAACGTTGTTCTTGAACATGACATCTTGAATAGAAAGATGTGTTAAGCACTGTGTATTCCTCACATTTCAGATGACTCATGGCTGGATGGAGACAATAACACCAGAAGTGATGATTTAGATGAAAGAATCTACTCTGGTCGAACTAGTCCCTTAAAACGTGTTGGCCCACCGAAGGTGTACCCTCACAGTGCTAGCACCACCGACAGTTTTGACAATGCATTTATGAGGAGTCCCCCTGCCTCCAGCAGTCACCATGACCAGGATAATAGGGATGACTTCTTCGATTCATGACAGAATGGAGAAACATGCCTTGGTGCTTATTGATGATGTATAAACCTACCAACAGACCTTCCTCAACCTGATTTCATCAGTTAAACTAAAACAAAAAGTGAACAAGTGTGGTAACTGGTCTGAATGAACACAGAGTCTGAACATCTGTAATTAATTGAAAAAAGTAAACTTTTAGGGTGTTTCTCAAGTAGAATGCCAGTCATTGCAATACAGGTCCTCTAATGACATATAGTGAAATTATGTCATAACACCTGACCACAGGGCACCTGTCCATTGCTGTTTAATTATCTTATCATAATATTCTGTAAAGAGATTGAGTCTTGCCTTTCTTTATACTTGGCATAATTATATTGATGATTGATTTTCTCAGCACTCTTTTACTTATGGTAGCATGCATGTATATTGCATAATATGACAATGTGAAGCCTGCCTTACAAGGAACAAAGAAATTCTAATCAGTATAAATACAAGAGAACCTTCATTGCCTTATATGGAACTGCTCAGCACAAAGGTCAACCCTTATTTGCTCATTTTTAAGCGAGTGGGAAGAAAGGGGGAGGTACCAGTAGCTAAAAACCATGAGAAGGCACATTCATTGGGTTTTCCTTTGATCCATCACGCTTTGAGACAAAATGCAACAAAAGTTTTTTGCCATGAATTTTGCTATTATATTCATATCTTGTAAGAAGGTTGCCATGTATACTGATGCCCAAGAAGTGTTGCATAAGCTTTGTTGTCTGCAACTTGTATTTTACACCCCATTTCCATAGATTAGATCGACCTACTTTAGATTGACCTAACTCCCTGGGGGTTCACGCTAAATAGCTGTCAGCCGGGCGGACACGAAAGTTAATTACCCCCTTACATCTTGTAGTAGGCGGGCAGACATTTAAGTCGGATTATCTGAAAGTAATCTAGTGAGACTCCCCGCGGGCATAGATCGATCTAAAATCTATGGGAATAGAGCCTAAGTCAATTTATTTCAAATACCAAAAGCAGTTGTATTTTAAGATGTTTATCATCTGATTTTTGTACTAATTCTGCCCCTTCCAACAAATGGTAGTTGTTGTCCTCCAACTAATAGATGTTGAAAGAATCAAATTACCTCAATAATTGTATATTTTATTTCTTTATATACTGTGGCGTCCTTCAAAAGGCAAACCAACAGCATATCAAAATGAAACCTATTCATACATTTTAAGGGAGACTGCTATATGCAAAACATTTCCCAGATCAACATTTAGTTTTTTATATTTATTTATTGATTGATATAACTTACTATATTTTAAAATAATTTTTTGTAAAATAAGATTTTTTTAAACTGCTGCATTCTGTTAAGTTTCAAAAAGTTAAAAAGATATCTGCATAATATTTCAATTTTAGTAACTGGTATTTGCTTCAAACCCTGTGTGCAATTTATGTATTTATCATTTTATTTGATTGAAGTGTTGGTCCCTCTTTTAGTAAAACATTTTGTGATACTGATAAATATTTCATATGTCTTGCATAGAATGATTAATGATATCACAAAAAAACCTTTTATGCATTTGAAATTAAGTTAAATCACTGTTTTATACTAAGGGTAGAAACCAAAGACATTCACTTTTGTAGCTCGAGAGACAGACAGGGTCAAAACCACATGGGTTGACCCACCCTTTCTTTCAAGAGTGATTATTGAAAATGTTTTAAAATTTGTCTTCTTTTCTATGATTTTACAGTCTCAGTTACAGTTGCTTTAATTTTTGAGTGCCTTTATGTGATCATTACAAGGCTGTTGCAGCTGCACTTGTCTTTGATTTATTTATTTTAAGAGTGAAACATTGCTCAATTTGTGTTTTTTATTTTTTCAGTCACCTACTTAACAACATTTAAATCTAAATTGTGAGATAAACATTCTGATATCAGTAGCACCTTTGGTAAAAGCATCGAGGCAGTGCCAGATCTTCCACTGTATGTTACCAAGGAGTTATAACTCCTTGATGTTACCCAGTTTTTAATACTACAGTTACCTACTCTATGGAGTTTTGTCTTATCTGATAATAAAATAATTCTTTGAAGTTTCGTTATGTCAAATTTATCTATGACCAACAAACTGACGAACAGCTAGTCTACTAGAACACATCATTCATTTCACCTTTCACTTTGATATATAATATAATAATAATAATAATTTATTCGAGCATTAAATGTGGCAGTTACATTTGTTAGCCCTCTATACTACAAATATATAAAATAAATAAATAGTTATACATCACTATGGATTACTACTAATACAGTGTTTAAGATTATTAATTACAGTGTATACGTTGTTTAAAATACTTATTACAATTGTAAATAGTTCAATACACTGAGGGAACACACATTTTCTTTGATAGGCTTATAGCTATATGTATCTAATGTGTCATACTTATGGTTCATATAATATATAGCAGGATGAGGCTACTTCAGTGTGGCAGATGCTCATTTCTTTTGGAAATTGCCCTCTGAATGTATTTACCAACAGCGTACAATTCTTTCTCATTTTCTGGGCTTAGTATGATTTTAACCTTCTCGTCACTGCTTGCTAGGTGATGCATGTCACATTTAGGGAATTGTTTTAACATGCCCTCCCTCTCTTTTACATGGTGTCTACATTCTAGTAGGAAGTGCACTTCGTCCTCGATTGCAGGACAGTGGGGACAGAATCGTTCCTCGCGTGGTGTTTTAGGTCTGGTGTAGCGTCCTCTTTCCATTTCCAGAATATGATCACTGACTCTAATTTTAGCCACTTCCCTTTTTAATGACTGAGGGGCATTAGTTAGCAGGTACTTTTCAATTTTGTAGGACTTTTTTATCAGACTATAAGTTTTTAACTTGGTGCTTTGAGGATCAGTTAACTCTTCCCAGAACATTTTTTCAATTTTAGCATTGATTTTTTCCTCAATATTGCAATGTGTTTGGATTTGCTGAACCCCTGGGACATTTTCACTGTGAAGATTCCAAGTCGTTAACATAGTATTAATCGCTCCTGGCCAACCTTTTTCCCCTATTGTCAGTTCTGCATCATGGGTGAGTTTAACTTTTCTGTTATTTGGTAGATTTGCAAATCTTTGGCAATATCGTTGTACCTGTTTAACAATGTTAGAATATAAAGGATAACGACCGAGCTCTGCGCGACTGGCATTGTTGCTGGCGTGTTTACTTAAACCCAGTGCCCATTTGCACATCCTCAAATGTGCTTGCTCAAAAGGCATTTGGTTAATTTTGTTCAGGGTCATCTTCTTTTCTTTGAATATTTCTTGGGCCCAAAATGTAACGTGCACGATCCAAAATGTAACGTGCACGATCTCAAAATGTAACGTGCACGATCCAAATTAAAGACAAGCAAGTGAATTAATTTTTTTTTTATGGGCTGTAGTATTTAAAATTCTTTATAAACTATAGGTGCACCTACAAAGAATTAATAACTGCTTGCCGATAAAAGTTAGTAACTGTATTCTTAGGCATTTTAATTTTTATTCAAATATGTATGCTCAAAATGTAACGTGCACGATCCAAATTAAAGACAAGCAAGTGAATTAATTTTTTTTTTATTTTTGCCAAAACAAAGAAATGAGATTTTTAAATATTCTCCATAAATGTATTACCAGTCTAGAAACTTCAAATGAAAGAACAAACAGGTAGCAAATGTGACTCAGCGCTCAAATAACTATTCAAAAGATATTCGATTCGCTATTCATTCTAGAAACAACGAACTAGAACTTGAAATGGAACATACCGGAACGTAAAGGTACTTTCTTTTTCATATTCACCACATCAGAGCCTCGTGTTGAAGAGTATAATTCAATATATGAAACAACGAGGTCGAGGCTGGAGCGTCGTGCCTTGCTTACAAAGGGGGGATTCCCAAACTTGACGTCACATCCGTCGAACATTCTGGAACATTCTAGAGGGCAACGTGCACATGTGTGCACATTCGCTTTCCGGTATAGTTCTAAAGATTTTTTATATTTTCAAAAATCAAATAAATAACCAAAAATTCATATTAATTTTCAAAAACTTTTGTTTTTGTTTTCTGTTTCTTTTAAAACATATATTGTGCTCTTCAAAACCATTTGTCAAAAAGATGAGCAAATTTACAGCACTACTTTCGAGGCTATATAGCGGATGACGCTCATTGATTTTTCAATAGTTACGGCCCATACCTCGTGCTCGTGCGGTCGACAAGAGAAGAAGAAGCGTTGTTCTGTTCGTTCGTTAACGGTTCGTTTTACTAACACCAGTTATTACAATCGACTTTGATATATCAGATCTTCGCAACTCAAAGGTTAGTATTTTATTTAGTAGTTAGCCCTCCTTTGCTGCAGTACTTTCTCATTTTCATAATGATTGAACTTTGCCGGCTTTACTTCGCAACACGTGCTTGGACATTTGGCCAACTAATCCTTTGTGAGGAGATGTTATTTTCTTCTTTGTTGTGTCCACTCAGCTACATTTTCTTAAATGTAAAATGAGAAAATACCCATTTCTCGTTAATGAATGATATATTAAGGACTGTTACATATGAGCACAAAAATCAGCACAATTTGATAATGAAACTAAAAGCGCAACTAAAAGTTTTTTCATTTGTTATTCAGATGCCCGAAGAAACACAGACTACTGCCCCAATGGAAGACGAAGGGGAAGCAGAAACTTTTGCCTTTCAGGCAGAAATAGCCCAGTTGATGAGTTTGATCATCAACACTTTTTACTCGAACAAAGAAATCTTCTTGAGAGAACTCATTTCCAACTCTTCTGATGCATTGGACAAAATTAGATACGAGTCACTCACTGATCCATCTAAGTTGGATTCTGGTAAGTATGATCAAATGGATAAACAAGCTCAAAAACGGGTGACAATACTAGTGAACAATGGGTGTTTTTATATATTTATTTATTATCAGTATTATTTATTCATTTATTTGGTAAACAAGTGCTCTTCTTGCTGGGAAAAGGTTTGCACTGGGTAAATTTGATTTAAGGGTGCAAAGGTTTCATGGTAAAAGGTTCACTTTTCACAAAAAGATCCCCCCTCCCCCACCCACCTTTGAAATTGGTAAGTTTACATAGAGCCATACCACTTGGACCCCATACAAGCTTTACAACTTATTTTTATTCTTAGTATTTTACAAGTTATCTAAGCATATTCAATTATTTTTCCACAGGAAAGGAGCTTTACATTAAAATTGTCCCTAACAAGCACAACAATACTCTGACCATCATTGACACTGGTGTTGGAATGACCAAGGCTGACCTGGTCAACAACCTAGGAACCATTGCCAAGTCTGGAACCAAGGCTTTCATGGAGGCACTGCAGGCTGGTGCTGATATTTCTATGATTGGACAATTTGGTGTAGGTTTCTATTCCGCTTACCTCATTGCTGATCGCGTCCAGGTGACATCGAAACACAATGATGATGAGCAGTATGTCTGGGAGTCCTCTGCTGGCGGCTCCTTCACAGTCAGGCAGGACCATGGTAAGTAGAGCTAAGTTGCTAGTGGAAATCGCATTTAATTTACTAAAGAAGTTTTGCAGTAAATTTATAAATTACATACTATTTGAAAGATTTTTTTTTTTTTGTTGCTCTTTGTATGATGAATTTTCGCACCTGATCACAGTGATGCTTCATTTAAAAAAGCTCAACAGATCTGACCAAGGGCATCAGTTGAAGGGTATTAAAATGCAGTGAGAAAAATGTTTTCAAAGAGATCCAGTAGTCCAGTTGTTTTCGTCTTTTTGATCACAAGTATCCATTTCACATCCAGGTGAGCCTTTGGGTCGTGGCACAAAGATCGTCCTGTACCTGAAGGAGGACCAGTCTGAGTACATGGAGGAGAAACGCATAAAGGAAGTGGTGAAGAAGCACAGTCAGTTCATTGGATATCCCATTAAGCTGGTGGTGGAGAAGGAGAGAGACAAGGAAGTGTCTGATGATGAGGAGGAGGAAGAAGAGAAGAAAGAAGGAGAAGAGAAGGTAAAATTGTGTATGCTGGTTGTTACTTTCTTTTCACTTAAATCTAGGAAACAAAAATATATATGATGTATATTTATGTATATATTGTTTTTGTTATTTGTTATATATTTATTAAAATTTTAAATTTTATTTATTTATAATTATTGTGATAGAATGGTTGAAATATTAAAAATATTGAAATTGATTTCAGGATGAGGAGAAGCCCAAAGTAGAAGACATTGGCGAGGATGATGAAGATGAAGACAAAGAGAAGGATGGCAAGAAAAAGAAGAAAATTAAGGAAAAATACACAGAAGACGAGGAACTTAACAAGACCAAGCCCCTTTGGACACGTAATCCTGATGACATCACGCAAGAAGAGTATGGAGAGTTTTACAAGTCCTTAACTAATGACTGGGAGGACCACTTGGCAGTGAAGGTATACATTATGCTTTATTTCAGAGTGGTGTTGAGGACAACATGTAGCTAATATGGAATCTTTATTTTCCTGACAACATGTGGTTACTAAAACTGATAAATAAAACATTGTAATTTTTTGTGTTAGATACTGATGCGTTTTTCTTGTATTAGTTGAGATCATAATTTCTTGTTTTTTCATGAATTTGTTTTTTTATTTCAGCACTTCTCAGTTGAAGGTCAATTGGAATTTAGAGCACTGTTGTTTATTCCAAAGAGAGCTCCTTTTGATATGTTTGAAAACAAGAAGAAGCGCAACAACATCAAATTATACGTAAGGAGAGTGTTTATTATGGACAATTGTGAAGATCTCATCCCAGAATACCTGAACTTTATGAAAGGTGTGGTAGACTCTGAAGACTTGCCACTAAATATCTCTCGTGAAATGCTTCAACAGAGCAAGATTCTGAAAGTTATTCGTAAAAACTTGGTGAAGAAGTGCATTGAGCTGTTTGAGGAAATTGCAGAGGATGCTGACAACTTCAAGAAATTTTACGAACAGTTTTCCAAAAATCTGAAGGTGTGTATACTTGGGTGGAAAAAAACTAATGTAAAACAATTTCTTTCAGTGGTAGTTTTTTAGATGAAAATTTTGATCTTTTTCTTACAACTCTTATCTAAGTCTACAAATGGTATTTTTTGGAGTAGAATTTCATTTCCATTTGAGGTTTGTGGTTATTTTACTCATGTAAAGAATGTAAACATTTTTATAATTATGGTTTTAAGAAATATTATCTTTAATTTAGTTGGGTATCCATGAAGATAGCACAAATAGAAAGAAACTCTCAGAACTGCTGCGTTATTACTCCTCGCACTCTGGTGATGAGATGACTTCACTTAAGGATTACACCTCGAGGATGAAGGAGAACCAGAAAGTCATCTACTACATTACAGGTGAGTAGCTGGTCCAACATGGTTTCAGAGATGTAAATCTTAAACTTTCAGCTGATGAATCGGGTAAAAAAAAAAGTCCTATATTTGTGAAGTGAATATGTTGCAAGAGATTTATTTTCCTGTCTTTATTTAAGATGAAACTACATAATGTCTTTTTCTGCATAAACTGAAAGACTCCCTTTGAACCAGACATGTAGAGATGCAGGATTTGCTTTTTTCTTTTTTTAAAATTTAGTTCTACTCAAGCAATTAAACATTGGGGTGTCTAGCAGTCATTTCATTGCCCTGTTTAAGCAGAGAAAGTTCACCTTGGACCAATTAACTCCTGGCCCCCGTTTCACAAAAAAAGTCGACTACGGATTTAAGATTTTTTGTGAAACGGGGGCCTGCTTACCACTACAATATACATTTTTTTCCCTCTCTCTTGCCAAAAAGCCAAGCATGTGTCCATTGATCTCAATTTGTAAATTTTTATCCTGCAGGAGAAAGCAAAGAAACAGTAGCAAACTCTGCATTTGTTGAGAGGCTGAGGAAACGTGGATATGAAGTGCTGTACATGGTGGATCCTATTGATGAGTACAGTGTCCAGCAGTTGAAGGAGTATGATGGCAAGAACCTGGTCTGTGTCACAAAGGAGGGACTGGAACTTCCAGAGGATGATGAAGAGAAGAAGAAATTTGAGGAACAGAAAGAGGCATTTGAACCACTTTGCAAGACCATGAAAGAGATCTTGGACAAGAAAGTGGAAAAGGTATAAATGAATGTGGCCTAATTTGTTAGTCATACTTCTCAGATTCAAATGTTCAGTTTAACAGAGGTTAAGAAAACTTGCAAAATGATGACCATTTTTTCCCCAGCTTATCGATACATGACGATATCATGCTAATTTCTAGCCAGTATTCGTCTGATGCAAGTACCTAGAAAATTTTAAGGAAATTCCTCCAAATGGAGTTGGTATGGTTGTAATGTAGTTGTTGTTGTCTTATAGGTTGTAGTGTCAAATCGCCTGGTGTCTTCACCTTGCTGTATTGTCACCAGCCAGTATGGGTGGTCAGCCAACATGGAGCGTATCATGAAGGCGCAAGCCCTGCGCGACAACAGCACCATGGGATACATGGCTGCAAAGAAACACCTGGAAATCAACCCAGACCACGCCATCATAAAGAACCTGAAGGAAAAGGTGGCCGTGGACAAAAATGATAAATCCGTGAAGGATCTGGTCGTGTTGATGTTTGAGACAGCTCTATTGTCATCTGGGTTTACTCTGGAAGATCCCATGCACCATGCGAGCAGAATCCACAGGATGATCAAACTTGGTCTTGGTAAGTGTGTAAGGCAGTGCTTAATTTTTATCTTTTGTTAGAGGGTTGCTTGTTAACAGAAGTAAGAAATCTCAAAAGCAGTTATTTGTAAACTCTTACATAAATCAATCTACTGGCAAAATGATTATCAATTTTTCCCCGATGGCATGCTACATTTCTGGCATAGAAATGAGTGTGTAATTTGAATTACCCAATTAAATATGTCAGTTGGATAATTAAATCTCTCATAAGGTTTGCTGTATTAGATGATATTAAGTGTTTGTTTTATTCTTTAGGCATTGATGAGGATGACGCTGCAGAAACACCAGGCCCTGATGAGGAAATGCCACCTCTGGAAGGAGAGGGAGAAGGAGATGATGATGCCTCAAGGATGGAAGAGGTGGATTAAAAGTACAGACAGGGATTAAGGCACTTAACCCAATGGACAGTAGCAGAGAACTATACATTATGCATATGGTCAACAGCTAATTGACAATCTCAATGTTTTTGTTGTAAATATTCCAAAGATTAAATGGTCATGATTTAGCCAGTTGACTGATAAAAAATGGCTTGAGCATCTTTTGATTATCACAACAGAACTAGTGTTTACATGGATTGCATTCCAAGTGTTGCTGTTCATATTTGGACTCTGCTTATAAGACTACTTATATATACTTGTTCAAATTGTTACTGTTCACGTGTGTAAACCAACCATTATACATTTTTTTTTTTTTTGTACAAAGCATTTTATATTATATGTCAGTACTTTTCAAATTGCTCGTTTTGAAGAAATTTGTAAATAAAGCATAAGAAATTAATTAATGTGCTATTGTTCCTTTGTAGTCTTCAGGTTAACGATGGGGCTTTTTATTTTGAGGGAGGGGAGGAGACTACAGTAATGGATCTCATTTAAATTCGGAAAAATCGTCAATTTCTCAGATAAGCATTTCTGGAATCGTTAAAAATGTTTTTACTTACATTTTGGTGCTTTTTCTGTAAAGAATAGAGCTACTAGGTAATCTGCTTTTTCAATTGAGTTGCTACCATTCAATGGAAATTTCCTAACTTTATTGATTACTACAAAAATAAAGTGAAAATTTCTCAATTTTCTTGGTTGAAAGGATTGAGCCACTGCCGTGCACTAAATTTAAACATTAATTACTGTTGGCATGGTATATCCTGCCTTATTTTCTGTTGGTAAAGATACTGATACAGTAGTCAAAAAGTGAGACCAGTCTCAAGCAGAAAGAAAAACGTCTTCTGTTTGGCATGATTTTATTTAGATGTTCTAAGATGATCACATGAGCAGGAACTTCCCAGCTCTTCAATGATGAAAAGTAGATCTTTACATTATTTACAACTGGAATTTGTTTTTTACTGACAACTTTGTGTTGGGCAAGTTGCCAGCTGTTAAATCACAATGCTGCTCATGTTAAAATGCTAATTAACGTGACTAATTATAGGAAACTGTATAGAAAATAGCTCAAACACCGACAGATTGAAACAAAAAAATTGACCTTCAAATATTCTCATCAATCTTACATGCAATAAATGCTTTGTTATGCATTTTCCCTGAAAACATTCAAACCGTTAAATTACTTAAAAACCTCCATTGATATATTTATCATAGTCAATAAAGTATGCAAAATGGAGCTTAAAATTTCAACAACACACTCTGGCCTCTACTTGATCTAATATGACACATGATCATTTGACGAAACTTATGCTGTTAACATGAAAAGAAGGCTCACGTACGCACTACATCAAATAAAGCTGCTGGTTGCAGAAACAGTCTACAAGATGGCTGTATCACCTTCAGAAAAAAATCTTAGAAAAACTCCATTACACTTCAAAATACCATAAGTTCTACATAGGACAATGTTTTAATATCAAACAGAGCATTAAGAACCCTAATATTTAAGGTCCTGGAATCTTTCCCCAGACCAGTTACACTCCCCATGGCTTTTTTTACAGAACATGATGTGTGTGGTAGACTGAATACCTAAATTGAACATAAACAAATTACATATGGATTGTCTGGTATCTTGAAAAGATCAATTATATCTTACATATAAAAAATTAATATATAACTATTTTTAATTTGCTCAAATTTGTATTATCAAATCACATGAATAGGGAAATAAACACATAATCATAACATGCAACTTGTTTGCATAAAATAAAACCTGTAAGTCTTTCCGACTTGACTTAAACTACTTTCCCCAAACTTCTAAACCATGATCTTTGCTGTAAACATATGCTCTGAAATTATTACACAAAACAACTAATAAACCCCCAACATAACAGAAATCTTACCACTACACCTTTTATTCCATACCTTTATTCCCAATTCTTCATAGACTAGCAAAATAAGTGATATTCAAGCAATCTCACTTTGAAGTGTAAGACTGAAATGGCTGACTGTGTTATGGTAAGAATGATATCCAGGAAGTTTCCATCACACAAGAATGTTTAAAGACATTTATCAGTCTTTAAGCTGGGAACAAGCGAGTCTTTTGGGTCAAAATGAGACAGTGAAGTCTCTTAATCAAAATGTGGAATTTGGAACTGAAATATCAATACCATGAAATACCAGTGAACAACAGCTCATGGACAGGCCTGCTGAAACGTGGGGTAATCAGCGTTATGCTACTGAAGAAATGACATGTACTGGGAATAGCTGTCTGCCATATACTGCCACCACATGTTCACCACCATATCGTGCACTGGGGAATAGCTGTCTGCCATATACTGCATCCAGTTCACCACCATATCACACAACAGGGAATAGCTGTCAGCCATAAACTGCGTCCACTTCACCACTAGATCATGAACTGAACATTGCAGTTTGCAACAGTGTGCCTCCTCTATACCACAATGCCAAGAACCGACTATTGCCGATTGCGACAAGTTCACCACAACACCAGGAACAGGGGATAGCTGTCTGCCACATACTTTCACCAGTGCAGAAAGAACTAAGGAAGTAACTGTCTCAGGCCATTCTCTCTTGTTGTCATGAATCTGGTTCATTCTCTTGGTTCAAACTATCTGAAGCTTGCATCTGAAATTAAACAAATGCATCAAAATAAAATCATCATATCAAAATATGTTTCTAAGCGTGTCTCTAGTTTTTAAAGCAAGAAATGGAATTGATAATAGGATTACAAATGTTAAAAAAAAAACTTTCCCTATTTATCAGTTGAAAATGCTTTGAAAAATAATGCATGGACTTTCTGCATAAAAAAAAAACTGAATCACAACTGGGAATCACTGATTAAGAGATATCATCACATCCAAAAAAAAATTCAAGCTCAAGCAAAATAGCCCTCATATATAGCAAGATTTGTTACAGAACAGTAACTGCTGAAAAACCAATTGACTGACTGATGTTTGGAGCACTAGAATCTCTACAACCTTATTCAGAATCAATACAAATAAGTCAGGCAGACACACACTCCACACAGAGCGATCCCTACCACATAGTTAACATGAGGAAGAGGAACTGATAGTCCCTTCTGCCATTTTGTAGGGATTAGTTCTCCAATATTACAATTATAAGAAATATGCAAAAATTTGGAACACATAATAGAATTTTTCCAATAAATCCCCTATTTTCATGAGCCTAATGATCTTGATTAAGGTAAAAATACACAAAAGAATTTGGGTTCTATCTGGGGTCTTTTCCAAGCTTGTGGCGTGGGAACAATATTAATAACACCTTAATAAGTTATCGCTCCTTTACATATCCAATCTTAATCCAACTGGTTGCTGCACAATAACACTTGACAAATTACACCAGCCCCATTCAGCCAATGGAGAGAACCTGCTTCAGCCCCTAAGCGAGAAAGAACAGACCACCAAGCAGGGGCAAGTGCATGCCATAGAAAGGAGTGCAGTTAGGGCAGACTGGGTACCAACACAAAGATTCAGAAACAACAAAATTCAAAGCACAGCTATAAGCAGCAGACCACCCCAGAAGGCTAACAGTACCTTCTCTAGACCACTGTTCCCCCAGCTGAGGCCCGTGGTAAGGCAGATGTATGTTGAGGCATGGCCTGGAAGTACAATAAAACTGTTTACAGCATGCTGCAGAGATGGGACCAGCATCAGAGTGTTCACACATGGTGGTGGTGGAAACCTCACATGAGAGCCAGCATAGATGTATTTCACTTTATTTAGGTATGTGATAAAAATTAAAATTCAGACCTTTGGTCCTCTGATGAAATCCATTCCTCTCAGAATATTTTATGAATACTCCCTCAAATAGGATCATCTTAAATTTTCCTATTTTTATTGCCACTGTAATATGTTTACTATTCTCTTGTTAACTAGTATCATAACTTGTCTACTGAATGCCATACACTGTACCAGGTAATCAAACAGAACTGAATGATAACATGTAATTACTGAAGACCAACAACACAAAACCAATATCTTGGAAAAACAACAGAAACACTTAATTCCAGGATAGGATGAAAATTAGTTTTGAAACCTGAGAATTCAAACCATTCAAATAACACTGTTATCAAATGGGTTCCCACAAAAATATTTCCTGTTGCAAAATTCTACCTATGGCATCTTTTCAAATCAACAAAACAAGAGTACTTGTCCTGATTACACTTTTACAAAGCTTACTATATGCAAACATACATACAAGGAAATCATGAAAGTTGACACTCTCACATTTTCTTTTTTTGCTATTTATCTATTTATTTATTTATTTATTTTTTAGGGGAGTTGGGCTAAATCACATCATCTAAAAGTAGTCCATCTTGGAGCACCCTTTTCCCCCAAACACACCCACCCTCAACACACAATTTCCATTTTCATTACTCACTATAAACAACAGAAATTATTCTCAGTCCAAGTTAGTAATATCAAAGAAAAGATTACCCCTTTGTACTACGCAATCCCAACAGCCATGTTAATAAACATTTGCATTCCAGCTACCATTTGCAACTGGTGAGTTTAGAGAAATAAAGCTATAATCTGGAGGATTCTAAGATCCTGCTACATCTTTGTTAAAAGAGAGATAAAAAATGAGAGAGAGAGAGAGAGAGGGAGAGAGGGTGGAAGGAGATAGAGTACATCAGACTGTCAAGCATGGAAAATGGGTTCCAAATTCTTCAAACTGTACATTTTTTCAGGATCTATAATTAGCTATAATTATCAAAATTTGATATCCATGTTATAATCTGGTGTTCATTGTCCATGCAGAAAATAGAGGGCATAAGTAATAAATTGATGTATTAATGTGTTTCAGTTTTCTTTTTGACAACTATTCAATGCTTTAACTGATGGTGACTGGGTAAAGCCCCCTTTACACTGGACGGCGTCCTTTCTGCGTCCAACAGTACGGCCCCATTTGAGAGTTAAAAAATTATAACACTGTACGTGCCGACAACTGGTCGATCATTGAGCATTCATTCTGATACAAAATCAATGCTCGTGCCTCCTTATTAAGACCACACCGATGCCAAATTTCATGGTCGCAGAAAGGACGCAGAAAGGACGCCGTCCAGTGTAAAGGGGGTATAAGGGAGGACAGAGGAAAAGTGAAAAGAGGAAGACTTCCTTTCTGCAAATATCTGCAATTTCAACCCCCTCTGTCACCATAGCAGTTATGATTTAGAAGTATTCTGATATGCATCAGAGTCACAGTTTTAATGTATATGAAGTGCATTTGTAAGATGGTGGATTAGAGAAATGTGTGTTATACAGATGGTACCATGACCTATCTTACCACTTTGCCTGGCCGTGCCCAGGTATACACACAACCTTCCTGACATGCAGTCACAAGGCATTCCTCTCGGAATCCCACTGAAGTCAATCTTTCATGAGCAACTTTTTTACACACTAGTGGCTCCAATAGTGGCACCTCATCCAGTCTTGGACATGCAGGTGTCCCCAGCAGTTTCACAGACTCGTCCACAGGGCGGACATGATTAGCTTTGAGAAGCCCAACTTTATCTACACTCCGCCCTGCCAAGCTAAAATTCCTTTTATGTTCCTTCTTATCATGATGTGTTTCTTTATCTTTCCTATCACCCAGAGTTAATGTCGCAAACTTTTGTGTTAGATTTGTTGTTGCTGATGGGTGTATGTTCCCGTCCATTAGTGGTGTATTGGGTAAGGAGTTAGTAGTCAGGTATGCAGACCCCACACTGTTGGCCTTATTTGCATGTGGATTGATTGCATTGCTCGAAGCATTCTGGGACATGTGCGTCCCCGAACGATTTCTGCCTATTGGCTGTCTTAAAATGTCCTCAGTTAGGTCCCATAAACACAGATAAGTGTCTTGTCCTACAGATCCAAACCTGTAAGATATCAGGTTGTTCTGTATTGAACGACTGTCTGTAGAATTTCTGTTTGATCCTTTGGAAGCAGATGACCTTAAGGAATCACGTAATGTTTCTCGTAATATGCTGTGATTGCTCTTAGCAACATGCTGCATAAAGTCTTCATCACTGCCACTGAAGTCAAAACTGTCATGTTCTGTACTGCTGGTGTGGGGATCAAACGCCACATCATTAACCCAAGATTTGTGCCCCCTTCCACGACACACCACCCGGTGGTCAATGAATGACCATACTGTAACCAGGTCATCCTCACCTCCCGTTACTATGTACTTCCCATCAGGTGACCAGCACACGCAGAGAAGGCCTCCAAAGTAACTTTTCATTGTTCCTACGAGCTCCATAGAGTCGTAGTTGAACACCCGTAAATAGCCGTCCTGGCCCACCACGGCCAGGTATTTAGCACATGGAGAGAAAGCAAATGCATTTATTGCACCTTCGCCCACGATCCACCTGTACAGTGGGTTACGAGTACTTTTGGTTTTACATGTGTGTACACTGAACCCGTCCCCTGGCTTGAATACCTGGTAGTGGGGGGTGGTAGTACCACAGGGGAGTTCATCTTTGTACACATACATCTGTCCGCTTTGGTGAGCAACGAGGAACTGATTGGGAGAACCTGGAATCCACTTGATACATGTCACTTTGGATTTGTCCACCAGCCTCTGAAAATTGATTTATAACACCAATTAATGATGTGATTAACATTTATTATATGGTATAAGCAATTCATCTGGCACACACGATTATTTCAATAACCATGAAAGTGCAAGGCGCCGGCGATGNTATTAAGGTATACAAAAGTTATAAAATTCTTCTCAACTAGCTTGCTCTAAATACAGAGGAAGGACTGACTTTGAATCAAGTTTGTCCAATATTCCAAAATATACCTCATTTGCACACTGCTTTTCTTTTGTCCTTGTTTACATGCCCAAAATAATATTTATTAAATATAAAAGTATAATTATCAAAATTCCTGTGTCCTACACAAATCTGCATCTTAATGATACTTAGCAATACAAACATGCAATAAAACAAAAAACAATAAATCTTCTTGCATGATTCAACAAACACATAAATAATATACCTGTGCTTCATATATGTCTGGATACATTATTACCCACATTTGTTAGTGGCTTAGTTCAACAGTGCAATTTGATAAAAATGTCTGCATAATTTCCAGTTGTATTATACTCTTTTTTTGTATACAATACCACTGATCAAATTATCTGTGAAGCTGAGCAGAAGGGAATGGAAAGAAGCCATACATGTACACCTAGCGCCCATGTCTGTAGTAACACCACTCTGCTGTGAAATAATGACAAAAATATGCTCTTGTCAAAACAACTCTCACATTATTCAATATGTACAGAAGACTATGTGCAGAATAATCAAAGTAAATATGCCATCTACCCAACTGTGTATACTATTCACACTTGTCCCCATTCAGTGTGTATTGATTCTGACAATGACCTGAGCATGGGAACAAGGAACCCAATGGGATATATATTTCCTGCCTATGATTGCCTTCCTATAATGCAGCAGCTTGGAGTTTATTTTTAATACCTGCCCGCAAAATGCTATCTGTGACTTTTTTTAATTGCATGAGTTGATTGAGAAATAAGAATGAAATGTTCTTATTGGACAAAAACTTATTGGCCCTACTGATAAATAGTTTAAGACTGGGTTCCCACTGATTTAGATTGATCCATCTGGTTCAACCTAACCCCCTGGGGGTTCACGCTAAATTGTCAGCTTCAGAGAGCCAAGTGTGCACAAAAGTTAATTACCCCCTACAGCTTTGAGTAGGCGGGACAGATATTTTTAAGCCGGTTAAGCTGACAGCAATCTAGTGGGATAAATCGATCTAAATATCTGTGGGAATGATCTCTAAGGTATACTATCTGCATTTGTCCAACATCATATCCCTTATGTCTACATGTCCTAAACACATGTTCAATTTCATGCAAACATATTTAACTTTTCTAATCCAGACCTTAAAAATTATAAAACCCATCAAACACAACTATCTGATGACCATAGTTCTTTTGAAATGTACAGGATGACATAATCTAAGACCCCATTTCCAAACTTCGATCGATCATACAGGATCGATCCATCTCCAAGGGGTTTCTCGCTTTTAGTTGTAGCTGCTTAGATGTCTGGCATGCCTACTGAAGCTGCTTAACCATAGTCAATTACCACTTTACACCTTCAGTCAGCATGCCGCTTAAACTGAAAGCAATTTAGCAAGAAACCAAATGAAGATGAATCAATCCTGTTAGATCGATCTAGGTACGGGAATGGAGTCTAAATGACAAGCCAGTCATTTAGAACCAACTTATGTAAACAAATGGTGTAAAACATCGAATCCATGTGTAGTAATGGTTATAACAACTGATCACGAGTAGGAGAAAACTGTTTATTTTTGACGAAAATTTGAAATCTAGGATAGGATACCTGTACATTGTATATAGGGGCAAATATGATATAACACACTTACGCTACTAGGCTATCAAAATGTTGAATGCTGGTTGGGTTCACTTGGTTATTACAGCATTATACTGGCTATAATTATTTCCATAAAGTTCTCAATCTTCTCAGCCTCTGATTTCCAAGTAAATCAAAGAACAGTTCTGCTATTTTATTTTAGACTTGTTAAATATTCAGTTCTAAAAATTGGCTCCATATTTTTCATTATTCTTTGACTGAGCTTATCATTATTGTCAAAAAATGTGAATATCAATTCATGTAAACTGAAACAAAGCTCTGATGAAACACAAGTCAATTCTCAAACTTCCCACAAGCACTGGTGTCTGACGTTTCCATCACAACATAACTGTAAAAAAATGAAGACAGTTTAAGTAAAATCATAATATAACTTTGCATGATAATAATGACAAGAGATTTATTGCAAATGTCACCTCTTTGGCCTATTCCTTTGGGCATAAAAGCTGTCCTTGAAATCCGCCATTGTACAATCTATCTAACCAGTGACAAAACTTTATGCTACGGAGTCCATAATTTATCATGTCCCATGGAGTGGCATTATTCAACTAGGCAGATAGTGGTGGCCCTTTAGGACTTTTAAATGCATGATGAATGCAACTGTGCTGGCTGCCTGTGTGACTTTTCAACAGATGAATTTCTTCTACTGACAACGCATCCCTTTTTATGAAGATTTCTCCCATGTGATGAGACAAAAGTGTTTGAGTAGCATGACTCTGCATAACAACTAAGTCAATAAGAGCAATGAAACAACACAGACACTGAATGCAACTAGGCAGCTCTTTAGTCCATGTATGCTCACCAACATCTTGATCTTTCTCATTCTGCCAGACAAAGCTGAAGTACACTTGCATAGTTAAATAACAACCAAACAAGTCCAGCAGATAAACAGCAAAAATGATTTTTTTCCTTTTTTTTTTTTTTTTGGATTTACAGAAAAAAAAGTTTGTTTTTTTTTTAAAGACTGGTGGCAATAAGTATGGAAGCTGTATTATTTTCCAAATAGTTTTTTTTCCTTTGATAACTACATGCTCAGTTATGTTTCCCATTCTTGGCAAGATGATAAGCAGAGTACTCCAAACTACCAACACAGACTTGCAGGAAAAAATATGGTCATAAGAAACAATAAAGGCATAAACCCACTTTGCACCATCTGGTTTGATGTGAAAAGCAATCACCTAAACATTTACTTGATGCATTTGCACCATCTAGATTTAAATTTTACAAGCATTTATGATCCTGACATTTAACAGAATCATCCCATTATTTCATATGAGGGCCATTCCACAGAGTATTTTCTGTGACCAAGCTGAGGCTTGATTGTTATAAAGACGACAACTAAAAGAGGTAAAGTCTTTGAAGCTATTTAATGCTGTATTCAGTTGCTAAGTTGGACACTAAACCGTAACCATTTGAAAAAGCTGAACCACAGTCCTGGGGAAAGTCCTCTTTTAAAGTATTGGCATTTTCTCTCGCTTCAACTGTGGCAAGTGAAAACCCAAGCATTTATGTGTTGCTTTTGATTAAAAGTATCCATCACAGCCGGGGGTTTCTCCAGGATTTGGGGTACAGGGAGCCCAAAATATCATTCTGTAATTTCTGTAAACCATCCTGCCGTCTTTGGAAATATAGGTTTATATATTTGGACAAACAAGTTTTGACACCTTAGGTATTAAAATTGGCTTAAAATTTTTAGTAGATTCCCACATTTTTAACATAACAATTAGCCAGATTTATTGCTCCATTATTCTGAAAGTGGTGAATTCCAGCGAGCTATGGTAGTGTGACAGTATTTTCTGTGACCAAGCAGAGGCTTGATTGTTATAAAGAGTGACAGGGAGGAAGGTTTTGTCCATGACCTAGATTTTAAGAATAACCAACCACATACAATGAAACCACCAGAGGTGTAAAATGTAAGGTTCTATTTAGACTTCCATTACATAAGTTGGACTCAAAGACCTCTTTGTAACATGCTTACAATTTTTTACCCTTAAGTATATATATATATTATATTACATTATATATATATATATATATATATATATATATATATAAAATGAAAATAAAAAAACTATACAGCTGCTAATATAATGACATCAAAAACAAAAACACTGCAACAAAAATACCTTTGGCAATTATAGAGGAACACATAAATACATGTAAGTTATATGAAAGGAAACTGCTTTTTTACCACACAAAACAAATCAGCTAATTTGATGTAAAACAGAACTTTAGTTGGTTACTTGTGGGGTAAAAATCAAGATACATGCTGATTTTTGAAAGGAATATGTCTTTTTGTACAACAAATTCATAACACAATAACACAGAGGTAAATAATCCATTTTTTTATGTAAAAGAAGTAAGTTAAATGCTTTCTCATGTTAAATAACCATTAACAGTATTGGTGAATTGTTGATGGGTAACAATAATAAACTTTGTCAATTTTTTATATATCTTTTTCATCCTTTTATTCTGACTTTTTTTAAAATATTTATTTTCACATATTAAAGAAAGTCCTCTTCTTCATTTCTGCTAATGGAACAGATCATGTTTGAGCTCTCTTTTGCCATTATGAGCATCAGTGTGTGTGATCTAACACCGCAGTATTCTAACAACTAATCCTGTTGACATGCTTTAAACATCACAAATTTACACAGTCAATCATTTGGAAACTTGGGTCAATTTGAGACCACAAACTTAAATCTTAATTTATTTTCACATGGAGTTAAAAACAGGGACAGATAGAATGATCAGTAATAATTCAGATCAGCTTAAACAGCTTTTGATCGACCACAATTTGAGGGGGGGTGTACTGATAACCAATTAAACTCATAATATCTATATGCTTATTATGAGATAATATAATATAATATAATATAATTTAGTTTACGATATATATACCAAATATGTGCATCAACAAACTGGTAACTTGGACTACTATGCTGAAAATTACCCCCCTCCCCCATGCATGTCCTGAGAAAAAAGGTTTATTTCTTCCCAGTTTTCAAACTTGACAAACTCAATGCCATCCATGAGCTAAAATATTAATTTGTGTACTCTGCCAAATCCCCTACATAATAAAAGCAAATCAACATGCTACATTAGATAACTTTTGTAATGGTACGATGGTACAACTGCACAATTCCCAGAAAGTATTAAATGATTTTCCACTAAGTGCCATCTTACCTCTTCATTATATAGCTTGGCCCCATCTTTTCTGATGGGATCAATGAGTTGCACTTGGCCCATGGTAAAGCCCACTAGCAGCAGGACACCCTCTCCAGATGCAGTGAACATGTTGAAGTCATGGCAAGTTGGGAATGTCCCTTTGTATACCCTCTTGTCGATAGGCTTTGTTAGATCAGCAGCCTAAAAAAGAGATAGCTGTGTTAAGAATTTTAAGTGGATTAGACAATTGGTATACAGATAAAAAAGGTCCACCAAGTTATTATGAAACCATTTTTTTTTTCAGAAGAACACCTGTGTAAATGTAAATATCACATCAAACTGTAATAGTGTCTGTGCTAAAGGGATTCCCAGTTATGTTATTAAACTTCAACATGGAAAACACTCTCATAGGCACCTAAGATCAGTTATTCAGAAATGAGCTGCATGACAGTTAATAACTTTCAAATTCACAGGACAATAACATCAAAGGTTCAAACCTATCTAGTGTTCAGCATGAAAATAAGTGGCTCTGACTGAAACTTTCAAAGCATACAGATTTCCTTAACTACATATGTAACAGCTCCTCTCTCTGCAATGTTTAAGCTTTCAGAAAAAAAAACGACACTTATAATACCATGTTACAACAACATCAAGGAAAGCAAGCACTAAATATTAACACATTAATTTGAAATTTTATGATACACACATCTGCTCAAAATATCATCTGTTACATAATAGTTCAGAAAACTGCATGACAACAGTCAGACACCACTTACCATGTCTTGTGTGCCTTGATAGTCGTAATTGCATATAGACTGTGAAAGAAAAGGATAGAACTATAGAGGATTGAAAGTAAAACACTTCAATTATTAAGTTTTGTGTATAAGAATTGAAGTGTCCCACAGATAAAAAATTACTCTATCACATAGAAATGAATCCTGTGGCAACCTCCTGTAACAATTATGTTATCCTTTAAATTAACCTGAATAATAACATGTAAACCTGTACTTTTTTTTACATTCAGAAACTTGCATCCCAGGACCCAAGAAGTAAACCACAAATACAGAAAATCTTTCTAAGGCAAGGAGTAAGAAATTAAAGAAAAGCACATGGTATCAATCTCTAAATACTCTTTTAAGACCTTTAATCCAAGCCTGCCTTAAAATTGTTAAATAAAAAGTTTGAACAACAATTCTAACATGGCTCTAAAAAAAGTGAACCAGCACTTTTCCATAACAAATAAATAAATAAATAATAAAAAATAATAATAATAATGCTTGAAAATCTTCTGACATTCATTAATTCATTGTGTTAGAAGCCATAAACTTTAATTATTTCTTTCAGTGATCCTGGCACAGTATATTTTGAAAAATTCATTTCCCAAAAATTAATCTGTATTTTTCATATAAAAAGCAATAATTAAATAAAAAGACCTGAAGAGGGGGGGGGTAGCACTAGCATTTTTTTTTTCGCTTAGCCAGATCATTGCTTTCTCATCTCTTTTTCTCCAAATGGCTTAAATTTGACTAAAACAAGTCAAATCAAACCCATTTTGTTTAGCCATTTTAAGTCAGTTTCAGCATTTGGCTTAATTGGGAAATGTTAATGCTGTAGGAAGCTTAATCAAATCTGATGTAGGAGATGTAGGAAGCTTAATCAAATCTGATAGGGAGGTGATATCTGCACCATCTACCAGTATACCAGTTTTTAGGTAGATAACAAATTATATACTTAATGAAACCCTCAACTACCCTGTCATTTTCAAATGTGACAATAACACTACTGTAACTACCCATTCAGTAGCTCTCACATAATTTTAACTTATATCTAATTTAATTCAAAAGAAGAATCTAGTTTTTTTCATTCATTATATATGTTTCATTATATATGATTTACTTCTAAATCAGCATTTCATGCTTCTTTAAAAATATCAACAGTGTGCCTGGGTCACAACTGAAACCACAAAGATAAGATGAGCATTATATATATATATATATGCTGTGTTGTCAATGGTGACAATGATGGATGCAAGTATTTGGTACAGGAAGAGCCAAATAATCAGGCTGTACAATAACAATAGACAGAATGATAAAGAAATAAAAATATTCTATTCAGTGGCAAAACCATTTGGGCTTTTAGCAGAGTGCAAAAACAAAAATGAATTATGAATGGCTAGGGAAATGAGAGCTTCTACATCAAAATGGAGGCAAAAATTGAAAATAGTTCTCACTTAAAGATGCATGTATACAAAGCTGGTAGGCATGTTAAATTATTGCTACTAAGCTGACAAATGCTACCATATAGCCAGATAAGGGTATAACTTAGACAACAAACACAGAGTTTTGCATCATAACTGCCAGAAAACTGTATTTAAACATGTATTTTCTACTTAATTTCAGTGCTATAAATAACCCTCAGTCATTTTCACAAGCTCTCATTTGACTAATTATGCTACTGTAGTTATGCAACATATGTTACAATGTTATTTGGCAGACTTTAACAAACTGAAGGGATGGATAAGTTAGTAAGACTAGATTATGAAAAGAAATTTGAAGAAGACGCAGTTTTTAAGCTTTTTATTTGGTTGACAGATTGAATGATTTGGTTTATTCTTTGGAATGTGGACTTTATTTGAATTGTGTAAGAAACTAGCAGAAGCAATTATACCTTTTACATGGTATCTATGCTCAATTTGAAAGTATCTTCAATCTTGACAATCAGACTTTAGCAAGAAAATATAAATAGGAGGCTGTTACCTGAACTATAGTTAGCAGACTAGCATGATCCATCTATCCAAATGTTTGTTGTAATGTAGGAGGTGGACAAATAGTCTTATTATTACATTATGAAACTGGTATTCAATTTAAAAATAGCCTATGACAATACGCTATACCCCACGTGTTCTCAGTGTTATTTAAAGCTTCGTCAGTTCCCCTACAGCTCACCTTCCGTATCCCTTTATACGTGTAAACATACAGTTCTCTCCCGTGATTGAAACAGATCTTGTCTCCGATTCCTGATTGGTCATTTAGATTAATAAATGACGTCTTGACAGGTGTATTTACTTGACCATTGTATGCCACTCTATTTGGACGAGAGTATTCAGATAAGGGCATTAACTTGTAGGTCCCTTCTCTCGTGACAAACTGTGTTTTCACTTCGTCTCTGCCCCCACCCTCGCTCTGGGCAGCCATGTTGGATTGATCTCTCTAAAGCCCGGATGTATGCAACTGCGCGTGTCATATACCACTTCCGTGTCAAATTTTCACAGGGAATCAGTGACAGGGAATAAAATATGTGTTTTTAGAACACCCATATCTGACGTAATTTATTAAAAAGTATCATGTATTTTTATTATATTGTTTAATTTGCCAGCTTTTCCATCTTTCATATATATATTTTTTGAAGATTAACATCTTTAAAAGACGTAAAAGTTTCTTCCTTTTTCCAGTTCTCCGTGACAATAAATGTACGGCCTTCACCCGGTAATATCAAAATGAACATGGCGACAGACAGATGAGCTGGATGGATTTTATCTGGGTTTCAGAATTACTGCAAATTATGTCAGACATTTGAAGATTCACACAACTACTGACGCAGTTTACTGGACAAATGGCGACAGACGAGTTAAGGCGCGTGGCCACTGTAGCGTGGAAAAGATGTGCCTTGTGTGTGAAAAATGATTTGACGTTCAAATCTCCGAGGGAGTTTTGCAGACATTTGCGAGAGTACCACTGTAGCAAAGAAGGAGGGTCATTCGTGTGTAGATATGGAATGAATAATGTGTGTCCTTCACTTCCAGTTGAAGGTGTGAGTGACAAGGATTATGAAGATCATGTTGCACGAGATCACGTTTGTATTGAAATAGGTGAGAAACATCGAATACCATACATCAAAATTGTTTTACTGATATGTTATATTGGGTTATTGTCATAGCAACTTATAGTTTAAATAAAACAGTAATGACAGTGAGCATTTGTTTATTACTTTACACTACAATCCAATTTTCTTATGGCAGTCTGATCATGATGGTCTGAATGCATGGAATCAATACTGCTGCATTTCTAATCTCATTAATTATTATTATTATTATTATTGTTTTTGTTGTTGTTGTATTTATATTATATATTTTTATTATATTTTATTTCCTAAAATGTACCTGGTGTTAAAATTGTGTTGTCATGTTTTAAACAAAATTAGCATCATGATAAAAGAGTTGCTGAATTATACACTAATCTTTCAGGGAATAGTTCATTCGAATATAATTGGAAAAAGTGTTTTGATACCCTTGATTTTTCACAGGAATGTATATGAAAACAAGACAAGAGAATTTATGTGATGACATTATTGTAACTTTAAGATTACTGGTCAATGGCATGGTTTGGTTTTCATCATGTTTGGAGTCTTACATGCATGTCTTTTATGCCTTACTTCATGAAAAGTCAGAGTTCAGGAGGATAACTTAAGGTTCATCTTCAGGGTGTCATATGATTTATATAACTGAAATCACTTATACAGTAGCTCTTATTACATTTTCCCATGCTACATTTTCAATCAAATTGTTTAAATCCTTTGATAATCTTAAGAACATTAATATGCCTTATACTATGGAGTATCCTCAGGATACATACAGTACCGTATGCACATGACACTTGCCTGATATGAGGTGACATGTCATGTTTTCACCCACACATTTCACATAATCATGATGATTTTAATGCACATTTATTGTAATTTTTTATATAATGGTTTTTTTTTTTTTTTTTTTTTTTTTTTTTTTGAGACAATAAGTCACTACTTAACTGTCATTGCATTATTTATGTTATGCACCTTTGAACCAAAAATATGACAACTGGCAATGACAGTTTACTCGCATAACCCCTGTACTATAACTTAGAAAAAATGCAAAATGTTGAGCTCTAATCTCTGTATTTTAGCCCCATTTAAACCACTAAGTCAGAACAGTGATAGCAGTGGCAGCTCGCGGAGTTCTACCCCTGTCCCAACCCACAGCGAGCCCTCTGTGGTCCAGGACCAGTACAAGTGGACTGTGTACCACTCCAAGGTCAATCTCCCTGCTGCTCTCAATGACCCAAGACTGGTGAAGAGAGAATCAGATTTTTTTACCAAAACATGGGGAGAGGCATTTGATAAATCGGACATTCACCCTTCTCCCCACTTGCCTGAGATAACGAGAGATCATTTTATGAGATATATTAGAAAGATATCACGGGTAAGTAAAAAAGGAAAAGAAAAAAAAAAAGCCAAATGCACAATAGACATCCCACATATATCAAAAATGATCTTATATCAAAGAAATATTTGCTTAACTTTTGAAACTGACAATTCTTATCTTTCTATTAAAAGCTTGGGTTTGAATCTGAGTTAAATCATTATTTTAATGTCAGACACTAAGTTGGTAGGCTTCAGTGTGCAATACTCGTTATTTCCTGCAGCAAAGCTACAAGATAATGATAGTGCTTGTAAGGCTTTTCAGTTTTGTGTCAGTTTCCCCTTTTAGATGAAGCACATACAGTAAAACATGTGGTTTTCAAGTAATAATGTTTCTTGACATGCAATCGGGAATGATCAGCAAAATGAGGTCGCCGGTATCTTTTTTCTGTATAGTAAGACTTCAGTGTTCTTATTTATTACACTAAAATTTTTTTGGTATCTGAATACAAACAAATTTTATTTCATTTCAAGAGTTAAAGATAGCATCAGCATGATTTTTCCATTATTATTTCAAGACTCAATTATGTTATTTTTCCCAGGATGAAGACAGTTAAATTCTAGCTGAATACCTTTAAGTCCCTCAATTAGCAGTGCACAGCCAAATGTTTTATTTATGTGTATTATTAGTGCAAAACTGTACTTATTGGATTTACCCAAAACCTTCCCTGTTGTTGCTGCATATAAAACCTTGCTAGCACCACTTCTTTTAAAATAAAAGGCTCCATGCATTCATCTGATGGAAGTCGGTCACACTTGAGATGCCCATGAATAAGATTGACTTTCATAGTCGATGCATTTTCGCAAGTTTGACTGCAGATTTATGCCTAAATTCAAAACATTGAAATGTGTGTTAGGAGGGTTTAACATCAAAGTAAAATGTCTCTTAATAATCCAATCTTATTAAGATACATTCATTTGACTTGCTATAATAATATTGACCATGTATGCTATTCAATAACCAATGAACCTGTAATATTTAATGAAGCTTACTGTTTGTGTGTTGAATTTTGTAGCGACATAAGACCCATGTGAAGAACAATGAGACTTTGCCAGTGGCATCAGCTGATGTTGGAAAGAGCTGTCTTCCTGTTGATTTGTTTCCTGCTTTAGCTGCCAGACAGACAGGTAAGTGATTGTTTACTGTTGACCTGAGGTGAGGTGAGGTGAGAGTCCTTCATTCTGTAAATCATTTAGTTGACTAGTTGAGCTTGATATATGTGTTCTTCAGAAAAATTGAATTAATCTTACATATTTATACCTTCATTTTTTTTTTCAAACTTGGTTTACATTTGGCTAATAACAGGCAAAATGATGAAAATGTGAATATATTTCATATAAGTATGTTTTTGATTTCCTGGTTCCATTTCAGATAAGTCAAGGGTAGAACTTGATCAGATTCCAAAAGTAAGGAAAATTTTTTGATGTTACATACTTTCATCCAATGATAAATTTGCCACATAGGTATCATGTTGTATGTCATATTTTAAAAACAGCACAAGACATAACATTTTCAATCAAATTAATTTGAAACCAAAAGGATTGTGAATAAATATCTGTAGCAGAGTGAATATTCATAGCATTTGATTTTTCTTGCAGACCTTTCTTAGTCCCTCTTTCTCACTGGAGAACCCTGACACATTTAATGACGTATTTCCCTGGGCTCAGATTGAGGCTACACGTCATGGAGATGAGGGACCAAAGCAGTCTTCAAAATTACTACAGGAAAAGGTAAATTGTTCTTCTGTGACCTTTAAAGTGTTAGTCAGGCATTTTTAGTCAGGCAGGTAAAGAAAGGAAGTAATTGTTAACAGTATGAAGTGTCAGACTATCATATTTTTTGTAATAAAATTTTGAAATATATCAAACTTTTTTAATAATAACTGAATAACCATGATCCCACATGCACATGCTGTAAAGTTAATATTACTCTAAAAAAATCAAAATTTAGTTTTGAAGTTGACATTTCTCTTTTAGATGAGCCACTATCTTGATATAGTAGAGGTTCAGATAGCCAAGCAGATCTCATACAGGTCTGAGGCTTTCTTCCATGCTATGACATCACACGATGAACTACAAGAATACATGACCAAAACATGTGCAGCAATTAAACATTTGAGGTAGGTACACTTGTAAAATATCTGCTTTATTTTATGTGATTTTTCTTGAAAAATATGCCTATATGTAAGGGCAAAGGCGAATGCAAAATGATTAACTACTGGTATTTTACTTTTACAGAGACCGCATTCACCATCTAGATTCTGTACTAGTGAGGGGGCCTCTTACCATTATGAAACTGACAAAGACAAGGTCAAATTACGCCAAGTTGTATAACAAGGTAAATATTTCTGTTTGCTTATTGACTACTTTTTTACATAAATTTGTACCTAAGTTTTGCTTACTTCATGCTATAGATGACCTGTGGGATGTGCTTCTGTGAATTCCATTGTGAAACAATGCATGGTGAACACCCATACTGTTATTTGCTGATACCTGCTGTTTTTTCATTTCAGTTGAAATTGATGGCCACCATTCACCAGACACAGCCTACAATACAAATGCTGCTGTCCACAAATGAGTTTGTAGGTGCCTTGGATCTTATCACCACAACTCAGGAGGTACTGTCTCAGGAGCTGGCAGGAATACACAGCTTTAGGTAGGTGCCTTAGACTGCATTCCCACAAATTTAGATTGATCCATCTAGATCGAACTAACTCCCTGGGAGTTCACGCTAAATTGCTGTCAGCCGAGCGCGCACGGTAGTTAATTACCCCCTTACAGCTTTTAGTAGGTGGGACAGACATTTAAGCCGGCTAAGCTGACAGTAATCCAGTGAGACTCCCCACAGGGATAGATTGATCTAAAATCTGTGGGAATGGGGTCTTAGATCTTATCATCATAACTCAGGAGGTACTGTCGCAGGAAGTGGCAGGAATACACAGCTTTAATTAGGTACCTTGGATCTTATCACTGACACTCAGTAAGATCTATATATGTCACTGCATCTATTTTTTTTTTTCAGATCAACTATTTAACAGAACAAAATTTTTCACTACTTACCACTGAGAAGTATCTTGATCTTAATGATTTTTTGCTTTTAAGTTACAAAAAAAAAAATAGATTTAATGTACCGAACCTAGATTATTACAGTTAATTACATTTACTGATCACAAAACTTTATTTTTAAGCAAAAAAACTTGCTTAGTACGCCATTCTAGTGAGCTATTCTAGTTTTTCCATTCACTTTCCTTGCAGACATTTAGGCTCTCAGCTGGCAGAGTTGGAAAAAGTCATTGACAAAATGATGCAGGCAGACTTTGTGAAATATGCCACAGCAGATCTTAACAGACCATTGGAGGACCGACAAAATTCATCTGTAGTAGGTTTTACAGATATTATATTCAACTTTTGGAAATTAAAATCTCATATGGTTTGTTTAAAAAATGCTAAGTAATTAGAAGTTTGATTTTTTTTTAGTCTGTGATGACATTTTCAGGCATTAGGCATTCACAGATATGATTTATTTTTCTGATTTATATTGGAAATCCAATTTATTTTGTGGTGGGTTTCCAGTGTTAAGAATCCCCCCAGATCCCTGGCTAAAAGGCTCCTGAGCCATTTCTTTCAACTTTTTTCTTACAACCCAAAGTCATATCTGCATTCAAAGTGTAGCTTATTATGACACAAATAGCATTTCTTACTGATCAGGTGGAGTGAAAAAACAATTCATATGTACAGTATTCTGTTTATGTTTGACAACCCTCTTCTTGCAGGGGCATAAGCATCACCCTATAAGACCTTTAAATGAGGTAACTTGTGTTTGTTAATAAGACAGCTTTATTACCAAGCCCCAGTTTATACATCAAAGACATACTAACCTTTGTGTGAGACTGATACCTTGTTTACTAACATGTGTGACTGTAATGTTATAACTTTGCTGCTAGTTACTCATGTTTAACTTTATGTTTTAGTTACTTTAGTAGGTGAACACTGTTTTTGTTTTAAAGAATGTTGTTTTGCTTGCTTATGGACAAACGCACACACACACTGTTATTTTAAAATTGCAGAAGTACTGTATAAGGAAATAAAAAATTTACAGATTCATACCTTTATATTGAAGAAGAAATGATAGCCTGTGTTAAGTGTTGGCTCATATCTGTGTCAAAGAGAAACTTCATTGTTGTTAAAGATATCCTGTACATGTTTGAATATGTCCCAATGTCTTTTTATCCAGCAGAGCTTTTTATCTTTTCCAATTTGTCAGATCTTCAAAACAATAAAAACAATTAAACATCTCAAAGAAAGGATAAAAGTTATAATAAAAGAATTTCACAAGATCACAGCTTTTGCATCTTGAGATATCACGACAGAATACAGAGAAAAAATGATATTTGTGATACTTGGTACACAGCTCTGACCATATTCTTCTTGTAAAGTGAAAAATGAGGTCATGTCCAATTCTTGGCAGTACTTGTCTTGTGAAAATTCAGGAAGACAGATTGTGTTCTAAATAAATCTTGATTTATTCAAAACAAACTTATCTAATAAAAACATCCAAGAAAAGTGCATGGTTGGGTCAAGCAGCCATTTATGTGTTGGAAAAGATTGCTTTTTTGCTTGAGGAAAATTATATTAGTAAAATTGCTTTACAGGATACCTCTACTAATACATACCTCAATTAGCATGATAGCTATAATTAATGTGATGTTATATCAACAACAGCAAAATATTAGAGTTACCATATCTATTCTGCTGTTACTTTTTATTAAGCCCACTGAGGTGGAGGACCTTTCAGATGTAAGTTGTAAAAGTAAAAGCTGTTGTTTGTCCTACCTGCAGAGAATGGTGCACAGGCATGGCAAAACCAAATACCATGGATCAGTATGCTTCAAATGTTTTTTATGGAATATTTTTTAAAAAGAATGTTGACAGATAAACATTTTCCCCAATACCATGGATTTTTTCAGAAAAATGCTGAGGCCTGCAATATATAGATTTGAGCAAGCCTTTGTGCCTGTAATACCTAATGAGTTTTTTGCCATGTCTATCTTGCATCTTTCTTTCCTGGAAATATTTTTTTTCCATTCATCATATTGTTAGTACAAATGCATTTATTTAAGTTCTTTTCCACCCTTACAGCAAGTTCAAATATAGGTATTTTTGTCTCATTTGCCCAAAAGTAGATATAGATCATTAACACTTGCTTTCATTTTTGCTCGTCGAGAATCATGTTAGTGTTGTTTGAAACATCTATATTCCCATGTTATATATTGAATAGTTCTCACATAGAAGTGGTATTGATGGTGATGTGACTACTAATTTACAATTAGAGAGTTAACTTGTAAATGGTGTATATGTTTATCTGCATGTTTGAAAGTTTTATGTAGAATTTGATCATGTGTCATATTTTTGTGATATTGATATTTTTATGTGTTAGTGATCATTGAAAATGTCAAGAGGGTCTGTATTGTGAGCGTGTGTCAGTTCCACATGCTGCCAAAGAAAAGATAACATAAAACTGTATTATATTATCATATAACTGTTGGACCATTCATTTCTTAGTCTGTGTAAGTGTAGCAATGATACCACTGTGTGGCATGCCCATAATGTAGTATATTTATTAAACATCTTTTACATTATCATAAATAGAAATACATATAGTTGAGAAAATGAGGAGATAGCAGTCAAGCAATCATTTTCAAGGTGATTCAAATGTGTTTTTTTCTCTTTCTGTTGCAGGAAAAATTAGTAGCCATAGTATTTGGTATGTTAAGGCAACACAAGTATAACTTCATTGATGTGTACAGAGAAGAAGCTTGTACAGCTATGAAGGCAGCAGTCAAGCAGGTAGGCATGTCATTCCTTTGTCATAATGCTTTCTGAATAATGTTTTTGTGTAAGGTTTGGTTTGATAGTAACAAAATTTAAGTTATTAATTGGTAATGATCCATGAAGACACAAACAATGGTCTATATTATATTGCAGACGGTTGTTGAAGCTGTTTCCACGGCAGATGACATAAATGTAGAGGGCGCTGTAGGTAGCCTGGCAGACCAGATGAGATTGCTCAACTTTCCACAGTGGATGGAACTGCTCAATGAAATCTTTGAAAATCTTACAGTGATTCTCAGAAGAGTGAAGGTGATATTTTAATTCGATTTTTTCTTTTATTTTTTTTATAATTTTAGCTAGATTATGTGATTCTACAAATTTTTATTAAAGGATTATTTTATGCAAAATAAGAAAGGAAAATAGCATAGAACAAATTGAAATATTAGAAGCAATTTCTTTATTTGATAGATACTACTTCTGTTGCTTTTATGTCTTAACAGACAATCTTAAGCAGGGGTGAATGTTTTACTTAGATAATCATAGTCTTCTTTTTGTAGCTTACAGGACACATCATATTAGGTTGAAATCAATCACTAGATAATTGCTCCAGAAATTCTAAAGTAACATAAGTCTCATCTTTTATTAAATATTTTTATTAATTGATTCATATGTTAGGCAGACTTGTATTGTTCTCTATCCTCTGCTCTCAATTATTCCCTCTGTAGTTCTTGATAAGAATAAAAATCACATCCATGATCCAATTTCCTGCACTCTCAGAAGTCAGTTTGTGTAACTTACTTTGAATAGAAGCTAGTATTCCACTTGCTAAGACAGATACATATGCCTATTGTCTACAGGCATTCCATGATGTGATAAGTGAGGTGATCAATGTGGCTGCTGGGAGAAATGTCCACACACAACACAGGAAGGTGGTAGAAAATGGTGCTCAACATATACATGTACAAGATGGCCGACCTCAGGAAGGGGAAGATACAAATGATGAGGAGGAACAGGAAGAAAGCAGCACTGTTCTTTCCAGGTCTATTTCATTGTGAGTATCAGTAATTGTTAGTCCGTCTCATTGTTAATACTAGGTAGTGCATTTGTTTCAATGTATTTGGTTAGTACTCATTTTGGTTAATACTCATTTTGAGCAACAGATAAAAGGCACACCTTTTACATAGCATTAACTGGAATAAGCTTGTGATGATTTAAGGAAAAATTATTACACTTGACCTCTGATAGTGATTGTTTTTAACCTTGAGAGCCAGTGTCTCTGTGTTAATTGTAGACATGATGAAGATGCAGACATAATGGTCGCAGAACCAGAGTATGTGAAAGCTATGAATAATCTCAAAGACTTCTTGTGCCAAACATGTGAACATGCACATGATAGATGTGTGAAGGTTATAGTGGCCAGGGCTAAGGTACAGGGTGACAGAGATTGTTAACTTTCAGTGTCAAATCTATGTTAAATGATACAATAATAATAAATGCACCACTTTGTTTTATATTTAACCCAGACTACATATTTTTTATCTCTGGATAATTTAAAAGTGTTTTTCAATATCAAAAGCTTTGGAACAGTTAACTTAAAATTAAAAGTGTGTAATTTGGTATGAATTTATCCAATCAACATTGCTTTATGATATTTAGGATGGTTTCTTGGAGAAGATTGGCTCCAATGATTTTGTCACCCTTGCCAGTGCCATAGAGAGGTTTGCCAGTGAGTGTGAACACATCTGTGGCAGGAAAAGCATGTCTCTTAGAGGAAGTTTACAAAGTCAGGTAGGCAACAGAGAGAATGCAGAATATGTAAATGGACATTAATGGCATGTTGTAGAAATATTCTCAAAAGCTGTTTCTCCTTAATCTTGTCACCCATTGTGCAGCCAAGCAGGTCTGTAGGTCGTAGATTTAATCTTGTTACATTTTGCAAACCTAGCCCATTTCCATAACACATTTGCACCTTGGCTTGTAAATTATTAAGGCAGGTTACATTTACTGCAACTCTCTAACATTATCACTCATTTCATTTGAGTTGTTTAAACATTTTCCTAAAACTTTTGCATATCACTTAAGATTGTTCACAAATAGATTACACTCTCATGATCATTTTCCACATCTTTATAGGCAAACCGTTTTGTCAACAGATTTCATGAAGAAAGGAAGCAAAAATTAAGGTTTGTCTGGTTCTAGAAATTTTCTGCTGGTAATGATTTAACCTTTATATTAACATAACCTTGAGATATTTGACATTTTAAATGCCATGGTAATTGCCCTGGTATTGATTCAGATTTTTCCAATGGAGAAAATTTTCAATCTTTCAGATACATAATTTTGGAATCATTAAAATACATCTTTCTATATACTTATTATAAAGAATTATAAGGTAGCTTGCTTTTCAATGTTATTTCTACTGCTCAGTAAGAACATTTTCAAAATTTTCCCCATTCAAAAGATTGAGTATATAATGTAGCAACTTGCATTAAAACAATACACCACAATCGAGCCCAATAAGGCCTGGCAGGGGATTGATTTCTGAACAAAGCAGTGATCTTTATCAAACTTCCAATCTGACCATTTGCTGTCAACTCTTCATTCTCATTTTAAAAGAAAAAAAGTTCTATCATACAACCTTCTTCACTGGGTCAAACTGCTCATACAACTTTGAATGCACATATGTTTTCCAGCAATATATTAGATATTGAGAGGTGGAAACAAGCAGACGTTCCTGAAGAATTTCAGGACTTGGTAGACCACATCTCTGCCACAGGTAATTGCAAATTTGACATCACCAGGCTTTGTTGATATTTGATCAGTTTTTATCTTATCAACTAAGGAATATGCTTAACATTCCCTTGGGAAAATTTGTTGGATGCAACTGCTACAATTATGGACAAAATATCTGCCTTGTCATCAGTTTTCTGGGAACCGTAGCCACCTTATAAGTTGTCACAGTATAATGCTTTTTTTTTCAGTCCGTTATCTAGAATGCAATTAAAATGCAGCTCTGTCTGGTTATTTCTTAATACTAATGAAGTGACTTCAAAACTGTTCAGAATGGAAGGTCTATCATTTTATTTTTTTCCAGGTAAATTGTCTCCTGCTAAGAAGGTAGATACAGGTATGTAAGTGACAAGACTATATAATCCCAACCAACATCTGCCAGAATCCGTTATCAGTTATTGTTTTTAGGGGTATAGCATTTACAAAAAATTATTTTGAAGGTTCAAATAAAAATAATTATAGATTCAATAATTGTAGAAAATTCACATTGGTATGTAAATAAATCATAAATTATGTTACATTACTTTATGTTATTAGTGCAACTACAATTTGTTATGAACTTGTCAAAGTTATGGACTCGAAATTTCAATAATTCCAGAGAAGAGGTCTGCGTCCAGCACGTTGCGTGTAGGTGGTGAGGAGTACACTGTGGTGGGGACAGTACTGATACTGCTGAAGATCATTGTGGAATACTGCCAGTGTGTGGAGGATATCCCCACCATCACACCAGATATGCTCACCAGACTGGTAGATATTCTTAAGGTGAGAACTTGGTGTGGCCCTGAAGTTTTCTTAAGGAAGTGGTTGTTTTATATTATTGAGAGAGATTGAGTGTTACTATCAGAGTTTTTACTTATCATCGTAATGTAGGTGCTTTCTCAGGGGTCACATAATATTGATATCATGTCGATTTTAAGGAGTGCGGAATATTTCAATAGTGTAAAATGATTTTAATATGTAACTTTCCCTTTAAAGTCCTTGTAAGTACTTTCCTTCACAATATAATTTAGATACCTCAGTACTTTTTGCCTTCAACTTTCATTTACATATTTATTTACCTGTAATATTATTCTTGTTGATTTCCATTTTAATAGTCTTATTTTTTATTGCACAAACCAAATACTTTTACCAGCTATGTACTATCTTCTTGTTTTACAATTTATTACCCTTTAATTTTATTGCATAATCCAACTGTTTTTAATTTTAGAAAATGAATAATTTTTATTATGATATTTCTGTAAAGGATTTGTACTAATATTCAAAACAGAAATATTGTATTTTTTTTCCAGACATTTAACTCCCGTACCTGTCAGCTGGTTCTTGGAGCGGGAGCACTGCAGCTTGTGGGACTGAAAACTATTACTACCAAAAATTTAGGTGAGTTTGTCACCATGGGCAGGTTTCATAAAGGACTTGAGGCCAGATGTATATCCTATCTCTCAGACCAAAAATTTGATCAAGTTCAGTGTTCAGGATGCATTGTCTGAAATGCATTGTCTGCCATTGGTCTGAAATATTAGCCATTTCTTACTCAAACATTTTTAGCATTCATTTGTTAATCACCCTTGGAAAAAGTCCATTTCAGTCTGATGACACTCTGTCTTTATTAATATTAGCACATGAAATTTAGATGTTTAACATTAAGAGGTAGATAAATCACCCTAAACAAATAATGAGATGAAACCAATAACACCTTACCTCATTTCCTACCGATTGCCGTGGAGTATGTGGTAACCATACTTGAGCATTGTATAGTTGTTGATAATTCTGCAACTTCAGCCCTGGCCTCCAGATGTCTACAGTTGATCGCTTTCTACATTCCCATGGCCAAGGCTCACTTTGAAATTAGACTACCTGCCAAACAACTCAATATGCTCAAGTACTTCGATCAAGTTTTAAAGGTAAATTTACTCCTTAGTGAAGGCTGAGGATGCTTTCAATTTGGTTTTCTCTTTAGTTAGTGTGAACATATTGTCAAACCTATTTTCTTCAAGAATCATGGGAAATGAAACTGCAGACAAACAGAAATTTCTTAACATAAGGAAGCTGATCACATTTAGTGTAATTATTATGATACATAATAATAACACATAATGATATTTGATATTATGATGGCATAATAATAATAAAAGAAAATGATATGACAAATAAGCTATCATGTAAGCTTTCCTGAGGTTTTACCTGTGTTTGAATAACAATATTTGGACTATTATAACACAATTGATAGAAATGGAAAAGCTTTAATTACTAGTTGAAACGTGAGTCGTCCACTGCATGCCACATACAAGAGAGTAATTGTATCATGGTGCAGTCGGTCTTGTATGTCCCATGTAGTGGATGACAAGTAGTTGTAACTGACTTTTCCCATGGAGGAGGCTTCAAACAATAGGATAATTGCACTTGTATTTCACCTGTAAGGCACTGAAGTGTATGAAAATACAGGCAAGCATGTATGCAAAGTACAAGTGCAATTATTCTATTTTTTGAAGCACTAGCCATGGGGTAATTCTGTATAAATGACTTTGTGGTCATGAGTGTGGTTCCACAGTGGTCTTCTCCCTTTCAGGACTATAAAGACCACATATCAGAAATTTCCAATAAATTGGTGGCAATCATGGGAGGAATGTTTGAGCTGCAGCTTTCAAAGGTGATTCTGTATCTTGGCTTTAAATCACAGTAGTGCACTTATTATCTTTGAAATAGTGCAAAATAACATTTTCTAATTTACTTCCGGTTAAGTGATATGTAATGCTTTAACAGTTCTGAAGGAGAATATGGCATTGATATAACTTCATTAAAGCTCTTGGACAAAATTTGTGAAAAATTGGAGGCATGGGGGTTAAATTTTTATGCATAATACTCCAATTAAATTGTTTTTGGGTGTCTAAATAAAGCTTTGGGCTTAATGCCCAGTCAAAACAAAGAATTGAAATGATCACTTTTTGAATTTTATTTGAAGTGAGATAAAATGTCAACTGTCTTCATTGTTAGTCTATTTTCTTGGTAGAAATTAAGCGTTTTTTCAATTGATTTTGTTTTAGTTGTTGTATATATTTTTAAGTGATATGAAGTTAATCAATCCCAAAATTTCATTTATGTAGATACATAAAAACTGCCTTTCAGCAGAAGTAACTCATTATATATGTAAGTACTACATCTGTAGCTTTAAGATTTGATTACTGTTCCTCTCCAGTGGGAAGTGAAAGCACCCATGCCATCTGCCTGCTTCAGAGGGGTGTGTAAACAAATTGGGAAATTCCATGAGGCCATAAATGAACTTTTACCAGAACAACAAGTCCAGGTAACAGTAATTAGGTACTTTGTTGAAGAGGTTCATCAAAACTGATAAACTAAATCAATTAAAAATTCATAAAACAGCTCAACATAAGATGCATGTCATGAATTAAAAGTGCTTTTTCCCCTTATATTGTCAGGATTTATTCATGAGTATCAATTTGGCCTTCAAACAGCATCTAAAGCAGCAGCTAGCAAAACTAGGAGTCAGCAATGACAACGGTCCAAAACATGGGTATGTATGGGGGGGGGGCATTTAAATAACTTCTTCTTTGGCTTTGGAGGTACCTATTCTTCCTTTTAATAGACATCAAAACAAATAAAACCAAGAAATTTTCTCTCCCTGTGCTCTACATATAGTAAAGTTGTATTTGTCTACTGTTTAACTGTCACTTGGTACAATTTTTTAGCCTTCCTCCCCCCTCCCATTTATAATTGTGAAATAAAACTGAAAAGCACCAAATGCCTCCTCTTTTTTATAAGGATTTGAGTATGAATGTGGTTTTTAAAATCTCCCTTACATTAAAAGATTTGGAAAGTTGGGTTACATTTATATGGTTTCTCTGCATATATGGCAGTTTGCTTTTAAAGTTGTACAAATAAGGTTGACTCTCTGGAGTATTCCACTCGCACAAGCACCGTTTGATTTTTCCCCATAGGTTGGTGATGGCAGACCTGGCCTTCTACACTGGTGCTATGAAGTCCCTAGCAGGCTTAGGAAGCCTTGACTACAACATGGAGAGTTTATGGACATGACAGATAAGAAAGGGGGAGACAAAAATGTCTCAGTCAGCTGGAACACAACAGAGAGATAAAATTGTCTCACAAAATTGGAATGCAAGTTTAGATTAAATGTGATATTTATACGCCAGTTGTTATACTTTCAAGTACTCTTGCACTAGTCAATACGTTCATTCTAATGTGTCCAGAGATTATTTTCCTGGTAAACTATCCAAAATGAAAACAGTTTTGTTAGCCAATGTTCCAATTTTAAAGTATGGCTGTCATTTTAAGTAAGTGAAGACTTTTTACTGTTTCAGTTATATATTATTGTGTTCTCCATAGAATAATACCACTTATGCAAAGTGTTCAATTGGGAAATATATGGTCTCATTTGAAATATAATACACTGGGAAAGGAAATGTTAAGTTGTCAAATGGTGGCTAAAGCTTTTTATTTTTATTTTATTCCTTAGTTTTTCAGAGCCAAGGCTCTAAGTGTTGTGCAATTTTGTATATTAAATATTTTATTATTCCATCAATAAGACATCAGTCTGTTTCAGAATGGTTATTTAAGATACTAAAATATCAGGAACATAAAGATGTAATAAAACATAGGTCTGGGTGTGACCAGCACTTAAACATGCCTTCTTCTGAATTTTATTATTAAAATGGTGCCATCACTGCTGCTGAAAAAGAGCAATGGAGATGTTAAATGCTGTAGAATATCTGGAGAGAAAGTGACATCTCAACTGTCAGAATAAACCAGTTCATTTAGTTTAAATTTTAAACAAAAATCAAGTGAAACAAAGAAAAAAACAAACTAATTTGGCAAAAAGGGGCCACTTCAAACAAAAAAAAAAACAATTGTAGCATAAATATTTATTATTACTTTATTTTGCTACAGTACAATCATCTTTAAGCCATTTCATGTACTGACACACCATGTCAAAAACGTGTATATAGTGAAAACAGGATTAAATAGTTGACAGTTATTATTATTATAACAGATTTGTGGGTAAATCACACAAAAAAATCAAATGGTTAAAGATTCCATCTTTAGTTAGAGCATATCTACCATGATGCACAGATAGGTCACAGCACTAAGAAATATCAGCAATGTGCTCAACAGCTTGCTATTAAAATACAATACATTATCACACCGAGACAAAACGGGAATACTGTAACCAGCTTAAACTATGGAACTATGTCATATCTCAAGTTCAAGTTAAAACCCTACACCTCATACAGCACTGTGTCTTTGACACAAAAAAATGGCACAGTTAAAATTGGCAGGTCTTTAAAAATTAAAAATTACCAATTTGTTGTATTTAATGTTAGAAAAACAAAGAAAATGCCTTCATTGCAAATAACAAAATGTATAAATACTATTTTTAGCATGATTAGTAAATAATTTACGTGACATAAAATAAATGAGAGCGCGTTTTAATAAATGCACTTCTAATCAAGGAATTACATCTGATGTAATTCCTTGTTCTAATTTAGTGGTTGACCCCTAATCCAGACTACCTAAGCCCCACAGATAAGATAACTACTGACTACCAACTTAAGGTTATTTTCAACCCATTCAGTACTGTGCTGCCTACTTGTTATTCAAATTTTTAAAACAGCATACTGAAGGCTAATGGCAGCATGTGGGTTATATCGTAGCAATAAACTAAAAGGCATACCACTTCTTCTTTGAAACACATTGGCTCTGATAGCAAGTGCCCCAAACTGACATAAACCATCTCTCTGTTATGAGATGCTGACTATTGTAAAGATGTTTCTAAGACCACTTTAAAATGGGCTTGTCCATTTTTTTACCATAAGCCATTACATGGCACATAATACATTTTTTCCCTGAAAAACATCAGTTAAGAAATAGCATGAATGTATTTTTATTATAAATTATTTAATGATTTCAGTCCGAGCTTCATGTTCTTGTATGGCTTCAAATTCAGTATCAAACATTTTAATTTTATCTTTTATTTTAATTTTATCTTAAAAGATAAAAATATTCTATATGGACTGTGCCCCTGACAGGACACTGCTGATCTAGTCATGTGGTCCTTATTTTATTGGTGACTGCATGCTTAAAGCTGGTAACAGCTGTAGCTGAAGACTGCAGTACTTTATGCCTTTCAATAATTCAACCAACCGTCCCTCACATTTTCTCTTCATTTCCCTTTTCCTTCATATCAGCCATTCACTTCATGTACTTTCTGAAGCCTTTCTGAAACACCCTGCCATTCAAAGCAGGCAGCAAAGTTAAGCAAATATTCTTACGGTCAGTGGATGAATAACACATTCAATAGGCAATTGGATCCAGATTGTGAACTTGAATATCCTATATATACAAGATTCTGGAGACATTCCTTTATAGTGAGATTGCTCAAGTTTTTAATGGTCCAATATTCTGAGGTTGCCCGAGACTATTTTATTTTCTAAAATGGCTCCTGGAGGGATGTCTATTCTTTCTCCATGGTTGGCTATTATAATGACCGTGCCCTGAAGAAAAAAAGACAACAATTAAATCATCATCAACCATTCCCTTCCAGACAAGTTCTGTACAAAATGTCTAAATATCTTCACTATAACATATGAAAAGTTCAATCTTAAGATTTGAATGACTGGACTTATAATCTTTCTCATCTTTTCCATTAATATTAATATTAATATTATTATTATTATTAATTTTTATCTTTCTAATTTTACTATTATTTATCATTTTATTATCTTTTTTATATTTTTCGAGGTGGAGGGAGAGGGAAAAAGTTGAATATGACAGTATATGATTCCAATTCTTTTATGATATTTTTTATAAATATTTATCTCAAGGGACTATCATATCCTGGGTCTCCTTACCTTCAGTGTCACTCCCTTTCCAAACGTGACATCTCCTGATACCGTCAGATGGTCCAATTCCAACACATTGGGAATACTGGCAAAACGCCACAAAAATTCCTTCACCTAAAATTTGAAAATAATAAGCAAGCGTTATTTTATTTTCTTGGTATCCATAAGTTGAATAACTCTTTAATTCTGCCACTTCAGTCCTATGACGAAGTTTGTCAACAGAAAATAAAGTGGTCAATTTCTGTTCACTCCACTTTAAATCTCTCAGCACAAAGATCAGATTTTCACTCTGCCTAAACGCCTACCTCACCCCTCTCTTTCAGTCTACCTTCATGTTTGACTTCTGCATACAACTGGTGCCATCTGACAGAGGCAAAGCCTCATCACTACCCGGCAAACTTACCTTTGTAAAGCTAGTCCCCAGTTTAACCAGAGGCACAGAGGGGAAGGACCTCTTGGGACTCATGGTCAGCTGACCCGTCTTCAGGCTGTACAGGTTGCTCATCACAAGGAGCAAGTCTGAAGATGTCTTTACTGGCAGGAAGCGTGACCTGGGAACGTTTACACCTAATGACAGGAAAAAAACTTGTTGTATCATGTGATTTCCTTGTATGACTGAAGTAGCATGGAGTTTTCTGAACATGTTATAACTACAACAGCCACAATCCCACTTGTTACAACTCTAAGCAAAAAACATTTTTCCTAACATGGAAATTTCTCTCTGTCTCTCTCTCTCCTGTCAAATTTTTGCCCATTTGCAGATAAATAATCAGACATGGCACCCTTCCCTTCCCCATCCAGTTGTAGTTAAGATGGCCATCTCATGCCAGTACTTACACATGGCTCCCTCAAAGCTTTTGATGGCTGCTCCCACAGCAGTCTCCAGCTGAATTATATTGGTGCCATCATCCATGGTCTGAAAATGATCAAATATATATAAATGAAATCATTATAAATAATATCCCCAATAGCAGAGTATAACACACCACAAATGAACATTGGATGCTGCACAAGGAAAAAAGCTCTCATGTTATACTATGAACAATTTGTACCACCATGCAATATAAATAAGGTTTTTCCACTTAGTATTTTTCTAATCAGTGGCATAACATATTATAAAAAGGATCTAATTATTATTAATATTATTTTATTGATTATTATTATTATTATTATTTTTTTTTTTTTTTTTTTTTTTTTTTTTTTTGGGGGGGGGTTTCCTTTGGGTTTGAAAATTTTTTCCTGTGAATTTTTTTTTTCCTTTTTTATTTTNTGAGGGTGGGTTTACCTTAGGATTGACAATGATTTCCATGTGAATTGTTTTATCCTCTATTACTCTTCGTACAGCATCAAGCTTGATCCACAAATTATTGGTGTTGAAAATCCTAAGTAACAAAAATCATTAATACTTGTAAAATATTTTAGTACTTTAAGTTATTTTTCAAATCAAATTTTGCCTAAGAAATGCAGTTGAGATTTTACCAAATGTGTACCGGTGCATGCGCTGACTCAAATAATCAATTCCTTACAAAACAAAATATTTACCTGAATTTGTTGACACTTTTAAATTCATCAACCTGTGAACAAAACAAAATGAACAGATTATCAATTTGAAAAAATTATCAAACACAATATGTACTGCCAAGTTATTTTAGATATGTTCTATATTTGATCTTTTTTTTACTTACAAGACAAAGAATAAAGGATATAATAAATAAACAAATTATATCAGGTAATTCTTTATATATATAAATATGTTAACAGGGTAACATATAAAGAAGTCAAACTGATGGAATAGAGGCTGCCTGCAACATCACCATGAAACTGTAAATAAAGCATAAACTTACAAAATCTTTGGGAACTTGTGCAATTTCCAACAGCCTAAGTTTTCCTCGATATTCAACCAAAGTTCCACCCTAAAAGGAAGAGGGGGCAGTTTTACAACACATCTCATACTGAGACCGAACTCATATTCCCTGTATGATATTGCAACTGTATTCTAATGATAAAAACCAACCATAAGCACTGCATTAATAATTCAATACCAGCATTTTCCTACACAGAATATGCCACGCTGTATTCACCCATAAATTTCACTGAAACATCATGTTACTTCTCTTTCCAGCAGGAAACTGTCAGTCCCTACTGTTGTTTTGAAAAATAAATAAATATTTATCCATCTATCCACATTTTACCTTAACGTCTGCTCGTGTCTTGTCAGTGACCTCCATTACAAACTCTGGGGCTGCAGTTTTAGACTGTGGGTTCAGCAAGAAGTTCAAGATATCTTTTAATTGTAATTAAGGAAAATATGTGTTAGTTACCCTAATACATGTTCTTACACCCACATTGTAAAGAAAATAGTGAAAAACCCTCTCAACATTCTATACAATAAAACAAGATGACTTCTGACTTTAAGACGAAAAGTCCTTTTCATATGAGAAAGAAAATAATACTACTGTATTTGTTCTTTAGAAAGGATACTAAGGTCCACATTGGCTCCCATGTTATCAATGTTGGAGACAAACATATATTCTTTTCCCTGGTCTAAAAACTTCTGCAGGAGGCCAGAGTTGTAGAAAGATTCATATACATCACCATGTCCTGGGGGGTACCACCTAGAACAAACAGACAAAATAATTGTATTTTTAGGTATTAAATAAAATTTTTTTATTATTAAACATAATATAAATACTGGATTGGTTCAAAGGGTCAGACTATCAATGAATGGAAGTGAGCATGTAAACTCTCCAACCAAACTCATTACTGAGTTTATTCAAGTAAAAGAGCAGCTTAAATGTGAAGAAAAAATTGTCCTGATTTTAAAGTTTAAGACATAAAATTAAAAACTTACGCTTCGTGTTCCCCTGTAGCTGTTTTGGCCACTGGCAACAATGACTCACGATTTATGCGTGGGTACCTGTTGAATAAAATATTGTAGTTTGATCAAGTTAAAGATATACTAATTCTGTGAAAACTGTTTTAAAAATATTCATTTATAAAAAAAAATTGCTATATCTAATACAATATGAATTACACAGAAGGCTACTGTGGTAAAATAACTTAAATTAGTTTTACCTGCTTTGATTAAAAGTGAATATGCTGACTTTGACTTGGTTATATTTCCTCAGTACTTTATGTGTGTCTTCATCTGTATTGAAAGAGTTCATCAACACTAGGGGGACATCTGTGCCATACTTCTTGTTCAAGTACTAAAAATAGAGGAAGGAATGGTCGCTTTGAATGTACGAAATTTCAACTTGGTGATCTAAAATGTTTTTACCCCTGATGAGCATTTGTGTTCAATGGCTGAAGGGTGAAATAAAGTAAATAATATAACAAGTTCTAATCAACAAGTTATTTTATTACATATTATCCATTCCATTTTATTAGAGGATTATGGAATTTATATAAAGCAGGCAAGTTTTCGGCTTGGAGATATTATATTCTTTCAGTTGATATATAATTTCACTAAGTCTCATACCATGTTCAGTATAGCAAATACAGTGAAACTTTTGGTTAACTATTTGTCATCCATCACCCACTTTCTTCTAAACTTCTCTCCTTCAGCNTACCGACAAAGCCCAAATTTTACGTGGAACGAGTTGAGATTATAGGTGACCTAAATCCATGAGATGGGTACGGGGGCCCTTACCGTCTAGGAGGAGAAGCGGTAACGGTAGCCATCCGGCGGAGCCGGCGGAACGATCCGGACGGGACCGAAACCATGTGTACCGCCAGCGCTAACGCTGGTGGTACAATAAACCACCCGATAACTGCAAGGCAAACAAACTAAGCTTCAAAATTAAAATTCATTAGTATTCTGAAATTCATTATACATGTACTGATGATTTTTAGGACACAGTTTTAAGTTATATATTCTAGAACATAACCAGCATATTTAGTACATGAAAAATTATGCTGGTGAATACATTTGCAAATATTATCATTTAAATTTAAATAACCTTGTTCTAAACAAATCATATTCTATTTCTATTTACATTGTCTTCCAAACATATTGAAAGGGAATATCAACATCAGGGACTTTTATTTGGGGGGGAGGGGGATATCATTTTTTAAGGTCTGCATAAGGAAGAATAAGTGCATTGCAGGATATTTAGACATAAAAATTACTTTAGAATGTTTTGAAATGCATATAGTTAAACCCTTTTCTATTGGTAGTCACCAGTTTATAGACAAAGAACATACAGAGTTGCCATCCTCACTGATGCTGACAAAACTGACTTTCTGATACCAAAGTTTTAAATGCTATATGAATGACACATCAAATTGCAAAGAAAGCCATAACAGTAATTTATTTAGACTTCTACTGGGTATGTAATTTAGTAGCCCAAAAATTATCACTGTTTTCCTTACACCGGTTTTACATTTAACCTTCACCTAATATGAAAAAAGGCACACCAGCTGACTTCTTTACAATCTTGTTTCCTTTTTTCAAAAATACATAAACGTTGATTCAGAAGGAAGTACTGAGACGGTTGTTACTGAATTTGCATGTGTGTGTGTGTGTGTGTGTGTGTGTGTGTGTTAGAGAGAGTGTGTAAGTGTGTGTGTGTGTGTGTTTGCTTATACTGTACTTTTTTTATAATCTGTAAGTTAAGGACACAGTGACAGCGAGTATACACCTCTGTTTCATTGGCAGCATGTCCTCATAATTTTTCATTGATAAGGTGGGCTAAGAACCAGCTCAATTGCCAGACCCACCTAGATACTGCCTCTTGGCAATATTATTAGAACCAACTCTTTTTCAAATTTGAGAAAAAAAAACAGTCAAAACTAGCTACCTTTTCAAGATAACATAATGGTTGTAATGGATCATGTAAAGCAAAAAAAAAAAACTTAGCCATAGATAAGACTTGTCTTTTATGTGTAAGCTGTGATCCCAGGGCAGCAGAAAACTAACAAAAGAAAAAGCAATTTTGTTTTTCGGATAGCATCTACAGTACCCCTTTTAACAAAATGTCCAATATTTCTTGGGGGGGGGGGGGGGTATTCCATTGTTACTTGTAATTTTTGGTTAGTTTGGTGAAGAAGAAATTTAACATTTTCATCCCATAAATTCAAGCCAATAAGGAATGGCTTTACAAAAATTCAGTCTTTGAACACAGTGTATAATTATTTACTATCAATCACTTGGATGAGGTAACAAGAGATCTGGGGTCTTTGTGTCCAGTCATAAATCAGAAAAACAGACCACTGGTCACTTAGTAAAATGATAGCCCTGCCATCAATGATGTTTTATCTGAAGTAGACTGATGTGTTTTTCAGTTGTAAGAAGAGGTTCATCATGAAAAGGATGTGTAAAAATATACCAAATTAGATTCTGAGTTACAAAAGGTAATGGCTTTAATGTCCACTAAGACTTGACATGTATAGACTCCAGGTTTGCAATAATTTATTGTCCTAGACTAACATTTGTCTCTCAACTTCTATGAACAAATCAAAGTGACCTCGTATCACAAATCATGAAATGTAAAAAAAAAAGAATTTCTCTATAAATGATTCATTTTCTCACATTTCTTCTTTCAGATGTCCATATGACCATCATACAAACCCTAAGAAGCATCACAAATTATTATCAAAATAATAAATCTTCTTTAACACAGCCCAATACCACAACTTGCATCCTGGCTCTTTACTGGGTTTCTTGTAAACATTCTTTGTACTTACTGCTTCTTGAGGTAAAAGTTTGATGTCTTCCCATTCCACTGATGGTCCTGTCTCCACCATGAAACGGTCAAATAACCGCTGGAATCCATCCAATTCCTTTTCAACTGTCTATGAAAAAAGGTAATGAATAAAAACTGAATTTGATTTTAAGATTAATTTTTCGATAATTTGTATGAATTTCTTAGCAAGATAAATGTACTAAAGTAGATAACTCAGATTGTTGTATAAATATAACCTTCCCTTATCTTTATTAGTGTCATGCCAGGTGACACCATTGGAATTCTGTAATAAAATAGACTGAGTTTATGTTCAAGCATAATCTCTCTACTTTGCACCTTTAATGAAATGTGCCCATTTTTCAAGTGCAGATGTCAACTAAATTATAAAATCATAAAAAGTTTTAAATGTTTGATGTACTGAGAATGAGATGAACATTTACAAAATGTACTTCAAGGACAGATAAGGTTGCTTAATCTGTAAGAGATCTAGGTCAAACATAACTAATGCTACCCAAACAGACAGAATCAAACCATTCAATCATCTGAAATAATTCCAATGTAGCTAATAAGAGAAGAAAGCTTTCATAAAAATTTCAAAACCATTCCATAAACTATTCAGCTGTTTATTATAGGTTTAATCATTTATTTAAGCTTTAAGTTCTTACAAGCAATAAATAATCCATATTCCAGGTGGCAGTTAGTTCTATATGACAAATGATGTGTGGGGGCAAATCTTATGAGGGAAATAAATAAACCTGGGTCCTTAATCACTCTGTTTCGAGTACAAAAATTTCCACAGGGCTACAGTGTATAAAGCTGTAAATTTAAGTACCTTTTCATTAAAATTCAGACAAAACCCTTTAATTGTTTTTCCCAAAATGTTTTGCTAATAATGACTGAAATAGATGACTTGAAATGTTTGAGTTGCAGGGACTACAGTACGTGTCAAAAAGCATATCTGATTGAGGAGTAACTATAAAAAGATATTGGAATAGGGCAGCCCTTTGAAACTGTGAACAACCATTTCATCTATCTTATCAGCCCCTTCTTTATTATCACATTCCCATTTACATAAGATAACATTAGTCCTCTCAATGTCCTCTCTTCAATGTCACAGACACTTTTAACCTTAAGTTACTTATGGACAGGCATTTGGGTATCCCCGAACTACATAAAATATCTTTCTAGACACATTAAAATAAGCACATTAAGTACTTATCACTTAAATTGCATCATGATAACATGAACATGATAGTAGCTGTCTTGTAAAAATTTTTAGTCCTTTGGTGCTTAAAATATGGCCTCCTCGTATAATATAATGAAAGAAGTTTTTATCCAAACCTACTTTTTTTTCAATTTGATGAAAATATCAAGTAAAGGAAATGGTTTCAAAAGCCAAATGTGAGCACATGTCATAAATGTAACATATAATTGTTCGATTTTTTTTTGTAAAAAATATCTTTAAACCAATTAAGATTACTCATATTCTTCTAGTCAGTTTTGATTTTTGTGGACCTTTTCCACTCAAAAGGGATGTTCACTCTTGCACCCAAGGCCTCAAAAGCAAAACCAAAATTTGCCTCTCTGCTGTCCCTTTTCTTTTCAATTTTCTATGGTGAATTTACCTCCTTAGTTCCTGTAGGCACTGTGTTCATGAGCTTGTACAGCTCTTTTGCCATTGCCTGCTTAGCATCTCGGTGAGTCAGCTCCTGGAATTCGATTTCACTTCCACGGCGCTGGTGGCCTTTGGTGAATGCTCCCTTAAATGATGCAAAAAAAACAAAAAAATAATAATAATAAAATTAACAATTCAAGATTACTGATAACACTTTAATGATATTGCTTCATAATGAAGTTTAAAATACATTTTACAAGTTATGCAATTCATGTTTTTGATTTCAACTGACAATAACTTTCATAAAACTTAGATAATGCACATTTCAAGGTATGAATGGACTAGGCTCACTTTGTATGGAAAACAAAAAGAAATAATCAGAACATCTAAGTTCTAATGAAGATCTAATGAAGAGCCAAATACAATACAATACAATACAATACAATACAATACAATACAATACAATACAAATGCTACACTCAAAAAACTTATGACTTTGGATTTTAGTTTATTAAGCCCTATGTTTACAATTATGTGGTAAAAGAATTTTAATTTTAAGCCAAGAGAAATATTCTAGTAGGTTTTGAATCATTTTGGACTATGTATTATTGACTAGCAAAATGGATAAATAATAGACCTTAACTAATGTTTTTTTATAAAACCAACAGTTTGGGGAAAATAATGCATTTAAATTCTAAATCAGAAATGTGCAAAATCACTATAAAAGTCATGGCTTTACAAAATACATGAAAGTATTTGTACTGGCATGTATAGCAATGAATTCTGTTAGTCGTGGTTTTGGTGAGACTATTATGTAAAACATGTAAATCCACAACTGAAGAATTATGTTTACAGTTTCTCTCTGAAATAACACTGAATCTATTGGTAACTTACTGCACCTATGTTTGAACAGCTTTGATTTAACACCAAACTGATCAAATGGCTCTTAATTACCTGTTGCTATCACCCATAAGAGATAGCACACATTTTACATCAAGCACCACATAAGCGAATTTATGAGGAAGTTTTGCCAGTTTCTTGGCATCAAGTATAATTTAAACATAATGTTGAATGACTTATCTTAAATATAACTGAAACATGGAAGTCTTTGCAAACCTCCACAAAGCAAATTTTGTTTGAATTTGACAAACCATCTAAAATATGTTTTAGTACAGTACAAGCAAATCAAAATTTATAAATCAACCTTGGATATCCCAAATATACATTAACACTTCTTTTAATAGTACCAAATTGATTCACTGAAAGATTTTTTAATCGAAAATGGACTTTTTGATTTATGAAAAATATACATGTATATTTAGTTCAACAGACTACTTAATGTTCTGTAAATCCAATAATTTTTTCAAGCTTCAGTATCTATAATTCACCCCTGTCAATATTAGACAGAGTCCTGGATGAAAAAAAAATGAATTTTCAAGTTGTGCGAAAAAAAGTTAAAAAAACAATTTCCACGATTTTATTTCAAAGTGCATTAGTACTTACAAATTTTGTGAAATTTTCTTCACTGTTGTTTATGAGACCATTGCTGCTGAGTACTGATGCCATGTCGTTGAAGTTTGTGTCTATGCAAATGTGGATCCAGATACGTAGTGCTCTAGCTTGACTGTGCGTGTAGTGTGTGCATGACGTGTGTATTTATACAGTGGTGGCGGAATCCGCAACCTAAATCTAGATACTGGGTCACTCTGATAACGACAGGATTTGCGGAGGATTTGTCACACAGAACACGGATTTAATGACGTACTAGACGGGGGTTCTCTGTCAGCATCCGTAACAGACATCACGACGCTAAATGTTTTAATGAACAAACAGACTGATTTTAACAAACCTTTTCGCTGATAACACTGTCTACATCGTCATTTTTACGGGAGTGTGACCTTGCAGGACAACTATCAGAGATTGTATCGGTAACTTGCGTCATTTTCATAAAAAATAACAAACCGAAATAAAATAGTCCTGCATGCATATCTGATAACATATTTCCTTATAATGTAAAATACGTCATTTTTTATCACGGAGACTACAAGTCAGATCGATTATACGTTTATAATGGATGACACTCACGGTTTTTCTGTCTGCCATCGTTAGGTGACCTTGCATGTGCCCGGGGAACGTAAGTGGAAATGGAAAACCCCCGATCGCTTCAAAGTTATATGTGAGAAGTAAAGATACTTGTATTCATTCAATAATGATAGAAACCCCCCCTTTATATTATTTGGTTATATTAATTGGATTCTGTACCATGCAATTATTGATTTTGATATAAATGTAACCTGATATGCATCTACGTGTCCATCCCTTACGATGACAGAAATGGCGGCTAATTTGGAAGGAATTCCCAAGATTTCCGCTTGAGGGAGAGTAAGCTTTCGCCATGGGTTCTAAAAAAAGAAAAGAAACTCACAAAAAGGAAAAAGAAGAAGCGAAAAAAGCAACGAAGGACTTCAAAAACACCGAAGGAGAGAAAGGAGGAAGAAGGTGTTTGAAATTTATACATTATTTTTTGTTAGACTGGTTCAAAGACCGTCTCAAGTTACGGAATTCGTTTCCATCCGTCCGGTACCCTGACGCGTTGTTGTTAAATCAATTTTTTTCAGAATACCGGGAAGTTTACTTGAAACTGTTATATCCGTGTTTTATTATATGTGCCAGCCAACACCTTGCTAAATTCTCAGAACTACTATTATTATTCCTAACTTTTAACCAACCGCAGTGACTTGGTCGTACTTTGTCGGTTGAATGGTGGTTTTGCTCTGTAGTTCCTGCATGAGATTGGAGATAATTTTTTTTTATGGAATGAAAAACTACCCACTAGCATGCAAGTCATTTTGATTTGAACCCGTTTTTTTTCTGTTGGATTACACGAATTTTATTTTTAGCATATTTTGTTGAACATATATTTATTAAATTGTTATTAAGTTATTATTTCAAATATGCTATGTGCACCATGCATATGTACTTTAAAATGTCCAGTACATATGCACTTGAAATCTTGTTAAATGACATCAGGAGATGAGATGACATACCATACGGTATACTGTAAGCACATGTAGGTTTAATTATGGACTGTTATCATATGGACGTTTAGTTAAAGAACCATGAAGATAAAAGATCAAGATAAGTGGTTGTTTTCTTTTCAGTGGCAAAAATAACGTCAAACCTGTGGAGGCTGAACCACGTGTGCATGCAGACCCTGATACTGACCAGAGATCAGAGTTTACCATAATTACAGCCTGTGGGACTTTAATATGGGTTGTTTACCTATACACCCTTCATCCTTCCCTGCCTGGAGGAGACTCAGGTATAGGGACTTCTGTATATGGATAACTACCTGCCTCATCCCCCCTCTCCCACCCACCCCACACACACACACACACACACTCACACACACACACACACACACACACACACACTGACCCTAAATCTGTTTCTTGAGTATCAATTAAGTTTTAGAAACATTGTGCTATTAAATTTTGCTATTGAAAAGGAAGAAAATGCTATTAATGTAAGTGATTTTCCTTTGGAAGAGCTTGCATAATTTTCTTGTGAAGAGTCTAGCTATATTTTTTAGCCATTTCAAAATATCTTTAAAAGAAAGAATACTGTAACATGGCAATGAAAATCATTTTTCCTGCTAACTTGGTAGGAACTATTTAGAGCTTCATTGTTTTAGTTGTTTTTTCTATTTAGAGCTTTTTTTTTTCAGGAGAACTTATTGTAGCTGCTCATGAATTAGGGGTAAGTTGTGAAATTATGCTTTAGATTTTCTTAATATTTCCAAGGTAGCTGATAAGGGTCACAATTTGCATCAATGTTTTGAATAAAAGGCCAGTAAATTTCAAGAATTAGGCCCTTTTCACATCGAGCAGTATACTTCTTCAATACAGTGTGTTGTTACACTTTGAAAAATTAACTTATTAGCCTCTCTATTACATAAGAAATCACCTAAACAGAGCCTTACCCTTGATACAATCAATTAATCAGCTTCTACCCAAAGAGTAAAAAACTAATATGTGAAAGCACAAGTAAAACGCCCTGTATCATAATCACATATTAGGACCTTCCAAATATAATAATACTGACTGTATCTCTAAATTATAGCATCAGATGTGAAAAACACCTTACACATACTGGACCAGCTTAAATATTCAGACTTTTTAAATAAGGAAAATACTTTATTCACTTTGAATGGTAACCATTACTCCTGACCTCAAAAGGATAAATTGCTTCACTGATGAGGCTAAGCATTGCTTGATCTCTATGTCTGTAAGATTAATGGCTTAGCTGGCAAATTAGTGACCTTGGACCATTGACCATTGCTTTTATTAAAATAGTGCTACAGTATTGCTAAGAACTAGATAGTTGCCGAGTTATCTAGATTGCACATTTGACTGTCAACTCTGCTTTCAAATCATTATTTTACGACAGGTTATTGATACTAACAAGTGACCAAAGTTTCAAATAATAAACAATCTATACCATTACATTCCAACAGCCTTGCCATTGATAAAGCAATAAGGAAGGAGTGTTATGTACAGGAAAAATGGCCTTTTCACACCAAGCATTATATCTAACTGTACTGATATGGTTTGGGGGTTGACAACTTAGTAGCCTGGCCAAGCATAATAGTCACATTCAGCTGATATTTAAAAGAGGAAAAAAAGTTTACTTTTTTTGTGTTGAATTAAACAAGAAGTTTAAGAAATACTGCTCTGACCCTCATCTCCCTCCCTCTCTCTCTCTCTCTCTCTCTCCCTCTCTCTCTCCCTCTCTCTCTCTCTCATAAGAATTTCAACCAGGGTTTCATGATCTGCTACTAATGTGTTAAATATTTCTGATAGAGCATAGGCAAAAATTAGAAACTTCTTTTTCTAAAACTCACCTCATGCACAACAATATAACTCCCATCCATAATGCCTTCAGTAGGCTTCCTTTTGAAATGCAGGTGAAGTTCACAACGCTTTCCTGGTGGTTTTCAGCAATATCTTGTATATATAAGGGTACTTTTAGTCATGACAATAAAAAAACCACTAAGCTGCATGAACTTTTGAACAGACTTGAGTAGAGCTGAATTTGCGTAAGTAAAAAACGTAAGTGCCTTTGTGCTGATGCATTAAACAAGTTGCATTAGGTTGTGGTTTATCAGGGCCCATTTATACTTAGTAATGGACAAAGATTTTAAAGTCAAATAAAATTTGAATAATTTATTTTCTTACTAGAAAAAAATGAGACAGATTCTATATATTTATTCATTTATTTATTTGTAGGCATATTTTCTCTGTGTCTTTTCTGTTTTCAAAACATATATGGAAACAGCTATGAATGCTTGACATCCTAGAGGTCAGTGTTCCAATTGTTGTGGTCGAGGATGTTTACCAGTTGTCTCTATGTGGTCATCTCTTCATGATGAGTGCCTGGAAAAAGCCATAATCTCTGTGCATTGCACTTTGTTTTGCTAGTTAAGCCAAAGTATTTGAGTTGTAGAACACATGTTGAGTTCATAATGTTTGTGTACATAAATTGCCATAACTTTTCCCAGTATTATATGATTTCCTGTGAACATTCATCAGCCATAATACATGTGCACGCAAATGTGTGAGCGCACACTTACACACTGCTGGTACTGTAAACCACTTGAGCATGTATAATAATGTTACAGGTGCCCCACCCTCCGGGCTACCCACTATTTACCATGATCAGCAAGCTGGCCATCAGCCTGCTCCCAGTGGGGAATGTAGCCTATAGAGCACATATATTAAATGCTAGTGTAGCAGCTGCCGCAGCTGTGTTACTACAACTTACAGTGTTTAGGTGAGTGAATACTGAAGAAAAGAACTTACAGTTGATTAAGAAGTTATTATTTTTTCTTTTAAGTTCGTTTAGTGATAAAGATACGAACCATACGAAGATAAGATATTAGAATTCCCTGGATGACAATAATAAGAATGGAAAAATATAATGGTAAAAAATTCTTGGTTTATTAATTGAGAATTTAGAAACTGGAAAGGTATTGAAGAAAAATATCTCGTAAAGAATTTAATAAAATTTGTGTTACAATTGAACATGATTTTTATTTAATAGGCATACTTTAAAATGATCTCTGATAAAGTTAAATCTTTTTGTATGATGCTAGTTATTATTAAAATACTTGCAATATTTAATTCTGGATATTAGGTAAAAAAAAAAAAAGAATTAATTATTCCATGGACATTTGTTTATTTCTTCCAGGTTAACTCGTTCTCACCCGGCGGCCATATTGTCAGCAGGATTGTTTGCCCTCAGCCCATTGACTTGGAGTTGGGCTACAACAGCAGAGGTTTTTAGTCTCAACAATTTCTTCATAGCACTCCTGATGCTGCTGTCAGTTCAGTTTGAACAAAGTCCAGTGCAACTCAAACCAAAGGTTAGATAGAATGTGTCAGTATTAATATTCTCTTTTCTCATACCGCACTGGTTCAATTTATGTCAAGATCCAAAGTTAAGTATAAGCAGTGCAGATTCTATCAGATACAGACATGCTGACTTGTAAGCTAGTTTCTAGTTAGAATCAAGGTAATGTCGTATGAGAATTATTATTATTTTATCAGGTTGCAGTTGTGGGTGCCTTTGTCTGTGGACTATCACTATGCAATCAACATACAATTGCTGTGTATGTAATGTTAATAGTTTTCTGGGTTATGTACAGCCTAGCATCTTACAAGGTAAAGTACTTCAAAAAATAATAAAATAGAAAAGAGTTTGTTTTTTTTCTTTTTGTTACTGCAGTCATAGCTGCAGTTATTTTCATTGTCATGCTTAATTTTTTCATCTCTTTAGAGATAAAATCATAAAACATACTTTTATATTCAGCATTGATAATTTAATCTTTATAATGTAAAATAAAACAATGACATAAAACATATCATTTAATTCATTGCTGATAATTTTGCCCTGTTCTAGCTGCTGTCTTTGATCCTGTGTGTCAAACTTGGTGTTGGTTTCCTCTTGGGTTTGCTGCCATATATCTACCTACCGCTATCAGCGTACTGGAACACAGCGCGGTATACCTGGGGAGACCAGAGAACTTGGGGCGGCTTTGTTAGACATCTTCTCAGGCAGGAATATGGGACATTTGATTTGGTGAGTAGTGAAGTAAGAGGGTTGTGAATTATAGCTTGTATCAAAAATGACGAATTTATAGGGACAGCATGTTACTTGTGCTTGGTTTCTATACGTAGAAAAAGATAAATGAGATATCACTATTTAGGGTAGAATACTGATTTGTTGCAGGTGATTATCATGGCAAATGCTCTTTTCTTTATTTGATGTAATTGTATATAATGGTGTGAACTCTTCATCACTGTGGAAGCACATTTTCATTGATGTTTTTCTACCTGTTGCAGGGTAAAGATCAAGTTGGAAGTGATATGTACACATTTTTAAGGTAATGTTGAGTTTCAGCTCGGCATTTTAATTAGTTTACATCCTTTCGTGTATCACTCATCAGTGTGAAGAACTTAGTTTCTTTTTGAGAATGTAAAGTGTGTGTTTTTTTCAAAAGTTGTGAGAGATTAGTATTTGATATTTGCACTGTTTCATTACATGATATCACTGTGCTAATTTTATTTTCTTTGTATGAAAATTATTCAAGGTTACATACAGTAAATGTTGTATGCAGTTAATGAAAAAAATTTATCCTTGATTTTTGCTTTGTTACAGTTTCTATTTAGATCATACAATCACATCTTTTCTATATATTGGGCCAACTCTTGCCTTGGTTGGAATTGTTGTTTCATTTAAGAGGTAAGCAAGTAATATATACTTTATATTGAGTTATTTTAGTATTTATAATAGATAGGTGAACTTAAAGACCCCAAAACATCCAATCAAATACTCTTTGAATATCACCATGTATTTGATACCATTATCATACAGATGAAATCATCTCTTTACTAAAAAATGTTACTAGACTCTACTGGGGGAAATTAACTTTCTAATTAATGGTTGTTTTTACTTCTTTCAGGGCTTGGAAAAATGAAGGAGGCTCTGTGTTAATGTTCTTCCTAATGTCACTCTGTTACACTTTGTTCTTTGCTTGGAGAGCAAACCTCAATCTCGCTAACCCGTTATTTAAAGGAGTGGTGAGTTTACACATGCACGCTGCTTTATTCACAATATTTTTTTCATAGTTCTTATATCTGTCTGTTATATTTTCTGCATATTTACAGCTTTTATTATGTGGTTCAGTTACAGTACAAGGATTACAGATTTAGTTTTTTTCCATTTGTGATTTTAAGGTAGGTTGTTGTTTTACAATACTAGACTGTTGACTGTATGTGTGAGTAATCTCCTCTGTGTAACTGGTATAGAAGTTCTGGTTGCACAGTAATAAGATATTTGTAAAGCCTTTACTCTGTATTAAAGGTGGAGAGGTTCTGGCTGCAGACTGATGTGGTGCTTGCAGTACTGGCTGGAGTTGGCTTTAATACTATTACCTCGTAAGTAATATTAATAGTAATAGGTTATTATCAATGAGATATAAAAAGAAGGAAACTCATTTCACTGAAGAGTGAAGAGATTAACCAAAATCCGTCATCTAATTTTTGTCTCATTATATAAATAGGTACTTCTGATGTAAGAATGTGAATTAGAAGAATTTAGAATAATGAAATCTTGTCGATTGGCCAACAGAACAAAAAATGAAATTAATTTTACAAAGAGGCATGTTCTTTTGTTTTAATGCACTCCAATATTAAGATTTTATGAAAAATTAGATTCGTTCAAAGTCATTATTCCAGCTTCAAAAGTTGGCATCAAAATTACTATATGTACTCTTCAGATACCTATCATCAAAGTTGCCCCCCATGAACACAGTCAGTACCTCTGGGGCCTTCATAATAAGCATAGCTGTGGCTCTGACTCAACTAGTAAGTATTAATACATCACAGAGCTGAAAAAAGTCTAGTTCCTTCTTCCTGAATGTCCTTCTAATAAAAAATACTGAAGATTTTTTTTTCTTTTTTGACTGTAAGGGACCGTTCACATGAAAAATCTATTTTCTAAAAATCTATTTGCGGTATCTTGTGATCACGGTCTGTGCCCTGAATACCCTACGGTGTAATTATGGGCAGCGCAAGCCAGTTTCTTCCAAAGCTGTAATTAATTCTCGGTGCTGCCAGTAATTACGCCGCGGGGGAATTCAGGGCACAGACTGTGATCACAAGATACCGCTAATAGATTTTTAGAAAATAGATTTTTCATGTGAACGGAGCCTTAGTTAGATAGTTTTTGTTACTGTTGTGCATCATTTGAATTCGCTATTGTCAGCATTAGTCGTATGTGTACACATTTACATATTGTTTTCATAAACTAACTGATATATTCTTTCTCTTCTATTCAGCAAGTAAATTTCCACCAGTGCAACCAAAGTGGAAATCATGTGGTCCATGACTTTGCACTCAATGTCCTGTCGTCATTCCCTCAGAATTCTGTCATTTTCCTTAAGGGTGACTTGCCAAGTATCAGCATTAGGTAAAGTTTTTGTCACCATCATGGAATGATTACAAGAAAAAATGACAAACCATGCAAGCTGATTTTCTAAATATAAACATTATTTGTATTATTGTGTGTCTTAAACTTTTTTAAATTGCCAGTGATAACACAAACTAGTAAGTGCTAAAGTACAAGCACTATATTGGCGATATTCCAGTTTTGTCTCTTGTGCAGTAATTTTCTTTATAAGTAATGAAGTAATTTCTTCGGCACTGTCACAATAACTTCAGCATAATGTTTCTTTATCCTTCATCTTTTACATTTTACTTCAGATATTTCCACCTGTGTGAAAATGTTAGACCAGACATAAACATAATAGACCAAGAGGTGGGTAACAGTAACATGGTAGAGCAATTACTTTAAGTGGGAAATTACTTCAACTTTAAAGTGGAAACACAGCTATTGTTTTCTCACTCCAATATCTGCCGTGTAAGGTACAATAAGTTTTCCCCTGTCTAGAAGAGAAGTACTCAGTATCCATCCTGAATGAAGAGAGGCATTGGTTGTAACATGGAAGTGTCATGCAAGATGACACAAAGGGAATATATCCTCAGTAAATTCTTGCTTGTGGCTTGTTGTCCACATCACTTTTATGTGACCAATCAGCCATTGTTTGATAATTTTAAATGGTATTGGTGATATACAAGTCTTCATTACCACAAATTTTGACACATTTATCCAAATACAGTGACTTTGAAATAGTCTTTAACTTTATTTAGTGCCAAAATCTCAATAAAACCTTACATCTTACACATAAAAGTCAAAAGTCAGTATAGACAATCAGCTTGGCATAATGTATTTATGCTTGTGACCAAAATCCCAATAAAACACCAATAAGTCCATCTTCTCACAATGAAAACAGCGATGTTTAAGTGATATAACCTACCATTGCAGATCTTGAGCTATGAGTGGTCACTAGCAATGACCAGGAAGTTCCACACCATTGCCTTTCCAGGCAGCTTCTGGTCACTAAAGAATGAGCACCTGCCAGATGGTGGCATCTCCTTTAACTTTAAACATTTGATACAGGCTAATTATGATAGGTGAGGTCTTTTCAGTATTATTATTAAATAGTATGACGTAAACTGTGGTAAACCACAGTTGCATTATTCAGCCCAAACTGAAGTACACCTTTACAGGCATACCTTTCTCGAGGTTTTTGCTCCTAAAGGGATCATACAACCATTTTATTTACTGATAGTGTTGCAGACAACTGTTCATAGTGTTATGACATAAACTGTTTTGTTGACTTGTTTTATCTACCTCTACCAGACACGTTAACCTTGATGCTACTGTATAAATTGTCAAACTGTTTCATATATTCAGGTTTCCATTATTTGTATGTATTGGAATGCAGGACCGTGACCCTTCCTGGTCATCCAGTTATGACCTCTGGCCATATGGAGTTTGTTCCAAGATTGTTAAAAAGGGGACAAAGTTTATTCCTCACAAGTGGGGATTGGAAACTCAGGATATCACCAGCAACTGGTCCTACCCTTATGATGGGTATGAGTGATGTTTGTTGTTTGAGTATATTAAATTAGTCATTTGGGCAAAGTTTATCCCCACAATCAAAATTTTAAATAATTTAAATATAATTTTTTAAGCTTGTTTCAAGTTGTTTGTGTTCCCTCTGTTACTTTTTTTTCTTTAAAAAGTATTTGTGTAATTTCAATTGTTTTCTCTTTTTTTTTTTTTTTTAAGTTTTCCTGAGACTTCATGGGAAGTAGTTGCAACTCATGAATCTTGGCAGGCAAAGTAAGTACTGGAATTTCTAATGGAATGTATAAAGGGTGTAATCCACTTTAATCATCATTTTCACAAGTCTACAAACTGTAGGCTGGGGGAGGGGGTTATTCCACTTGATATGTACTCTTTTGGAAAAAATATTAAAATGATGATCCAAATTGCTGTCAAAGGTCATTATTTTTAGCTTTTCACCTTATACTCTCTGAACGGTGGGAGGGGGTTTGGAAGAATCCTACTCTTTGTAGACTTGTGAAAATGATGATAAAAATTGATGGCCCATGAAGTGATACCATTAGTGCACTTGCAGTATGCCACATATAAAACTGTGAAGTTGATAAAAATACTTAAAAATTATTCTTTAAAAATTAATAAATGATGGATCTTGAACATGTGCAGTGAGAGCTGTAAATATATTCTCACTGTAGATTAGATTTCAGAATTTTCCTTGACTTTCTTTTGTAAATTTACATCTTGAGGTCTATTTTATCAAGCAAGTTACATTTCAATTGGAGAATAAGAAAAAATAAGATGAGTGTTTGATTTTTCTGGATATACTTCACTATCTGATCACCTTTTTCTAGGATCAGCAGTGCATTCTATATGTATGATAAAGCCACTAAAACGAGCAACAAAGATCTCAAGACCTCATTATTTGTAGAATCTCACAGGGTATGTACATGTATTAATCTATGATTGCTAACTTGTTCTTAATCCTCCCTAATGCTCCTTCTGTCCCGTGGTGTGCCTGATACGTGATGATAACAGTTCTAATATCTTGGCCACTGTTTTTCCTTGAATTAACTGTCTTTATAAATACCAATTTTGAAAATACCTCAAGTTCTCTGTTAAAAATGTTGATTACAGGTTTTCTTTTTTCTTTTTCAGTTGTACGAGAAAGCAATTCAAGATAATGGATCAATTTTCCCAAGCTACTGGCACAAAAACTTTGCCTTAGTCTGTGAGAAATTGCTCCGTCTGGACAATCACGCCCTAGACAAGGCCAGCCTCCTGGAAGAGACAATCACCCACTTCACCCTATACTTAGAGAAAAAGCCAGACGATCCGCAAGCGGAGAGCATAAGGGCAGCAGTGAAAACTCTACAAAAAAGTACATAAATCACATAACTTGTGTACAGATAGGTAAACTTAGGTTACAAATGCTTTGATGTATAAATGTTAGTGTAATAAAAAAAAACATTTCACAAAACAAATAGTTATAGGATGAATGATTTCACACTTTTTTGTGATTAATCAAGACAAGGTGGTCTTTGAAACGAAGGAATTTATGAATGTCATAATAATGAGAATGGTGCCAAGCTATTTTATTACATTTTTTACCCTTATAGTTAGGATTTGATTTTTTCCATTTGTGCCAAAATAGCCCGAAAACAATTGTTGTAAGCATGATGTATGGCTTTTATTTTACCCCCAAAGAATGTACTTTTTATATTGAGACCTAAATGTCATGCCACCATGAAATGATCAAACAGAAAAAAACATCTCCACCTATCAATCACATATATACATATGGACATGTGCTGCATGAGATATGGTTCATATATTACAATACAAAGAAAGTGATCCCTAATAAATTAAAACCAAAGAGATTTCCTTTCAGAATGTAGCTGAAGATTTCATTGTGTGTTACGATTTTTTAAAATTATAATTTGCATAGTGACAAGATGCATCTAGGTATTGTGTGTGAATTAGATTTTCATGAACTTTTATATTAATATACCATTATATACGTATATATATATATATAAATGCATGATGATGTTGTAATGCTGTTGAATTTAATTATTATAGAGTTACAAAACACCTTGACAGATTGCACTTTTTTGTACAAAATTGTATGTCTTTAATTTTAGCCAACCTATGATACTGCATATTGGGCTAGGGCCTTTTACTAACTTTAATATAACTAAAATATATTCATCATTTTATATTGATTTGCCCAAGGGCACTTTTGTGCTGAAGAGATTTGTCTGTGAATGCAGTGTTCCCAGGTTTAGGAGAAGTGATTAGGTATAAGTTATTTTGCCAATATAAATCAGAAATATCTCAAGGGTTCATTTGACTGAAGCAGAATTTCTTAAGTGTTTCCATTATTCTTGAAAAGAATTAAAGGGCTTTAAAGTATTTTAAAGTGTAGTTTTTTATGGCACGTAGACCAATAAATATATTTATACTGCAATGGCTTTTTTCCTACAACCATGAATTGAAACAGTCAAAGAGTGCCTTCAGATCAGATGATCCGTGGAATAACTGATCATCTGACTAAATATGTCCAACCCCACAAAAAAGCAAGCTGCCCTAATCCCCTATTTGTCTCCCCACACACTCCATTAAATGGATTAAATCTCGACTGGGTTTTAGTTGCTAACCCCCGCAGCAACAGCATGTGAGGAGGCAGAGAGACCATCAGAGAACTAGCAGCATTGCTTTAAAGTGGATTGGCCATATTAAGTCTGCCAATCAACTTGTTCTGAATGCAGTCAAAAATTGGATCATTGACCAAAGTAGCACACAATTGAAAAGATTTATATAACAAATCATTTATTATCATCATTATTTTGCGATATTGATTAAGGTCATTTATCTGTCATTTTAAGTTTAAATTGCCCTCAGTTCAACAAGAAGTGATCCATGCACTGAGAATTTGTTGTAAATCCCACATTGGATGTCCTTAAGAAAGGTTCATCAGCTTGGTTTATGCATTATTCATTGGACAGTTGTAACATAAATGTTTCTTTTAAAATTTTAGTGGTTGCTTTTAATACTTATATTGTGTACAATTATGTATAATTATATATTCCCACCTCAGGGGTGAAAGACATAAAAGAGTACGTACATAAAATCGCACACTAAATATATGGTTAGCTGGACAAGTTGGTCTTGATTCGTAAATCCAAAATTGAACGGAAAAAAAATCAAAAAGAAATTCGACGAGGATGGGATTCGAACCCACGCGGGGAGACCCCAATGGATTAGCAGTCCATCGCCTTAACCACTCGGCCACCTCGTCTTACGATGCACGTGGTGCGTTTTTACCTTAATAACATGTAACACTTGTTCTTACTTTTTATAAAACTATATTGCGGTGTAGTTATTCCCAGAAGTACAAATCATTTTTTCTTAACTTTATCTGTTATTTTTGTAATTTATTGATGTAATGTTAATAATCATAATCCCAAATTAACTGTTACGACAACATGATTTACGGTATTACGCAGGTGACCTGTGAACTCCACCATGTGAATGAACCAAATAAATAGTGAAGGTACGTCAGGTAAGTTGAACTGACTCATGAGAGTTAATAGCGCGTCTTTATTTTCCATCTTTACGTCATTTTAACTTCCCGTTGGTAAAATATTCCTTGAAGAAAATAACTTTGCTGAATATAGACAGGCAAGTGTACAGCGAATTCCTTGACTAAAAACTAAGAAAGTTTCAGCAAGTTGAACAACGATAATGCTGTTTAGTAAAAATTACTCTAATGTGTAAAAGTGGCCATCGTACTGAACCTATACTGTACTTATACTATGCTGTATTACTGAAGCTGTTATTTATGGTAATAACGCAATTTGTTGTTCAAAGACGTACTATTTGAATTGTGCATACCCAGCTCCAGCCGTTTGTCATGACTTGTGGACCGCGCGTTTTGCTTGTTCAACTTCATGAATCTTGGCCTAGCTTTACTGTGTTCTAGCTCCAATCTAGGCACATATCCAGTTCAGTGAGAGTTGCGTCGCCATAACTTAGCACGTGTTTTTCACCACAGTGTTGTAGCGCTAATTAAGTTTATCACAGGGAGCGAGCAAGCTATATACACGTGTATCCCAGATTAACTTAATTTCAGTATCCAAAGAAATCTTGAAAGGGGGGGGGGGTCAACACAAGGATTTGGTTGGCTGCTTATGGTGAGCTAATCATAAAATACGACCTTCTTATACATTGTACTGTAAAAAACAGCAACATTCCACCAACTAAAGCTGTGGTGAATTACTTATACTTATCCACATACACACTACGTACATGTATGTGCACTTTCCATATTCAATTTGATTGCAGTATATTTTTAATTATTTGTTTATTTAATAATCACAGTCACAGTATATGCTTTTTTCCCTTTGCCCCTTGTTACACACAAAAAAGTTCTCTTTTAGATCAGCAGCATGTGATGTATATGTGTTGAAAAGGTAATTTATTAAATCAAAGTATACAAGAATAATGAGAGGGTGGGTTTTTTGTAATAAGGGTTATTTCAGTATAATGTACAGACAGCCTGTCAGCAGTGCAGATGTTTTGGTGGTTTGCTGTAAACTGTCTTCCTTACATTTTTCTGAGGGCGCACTCAGAACAAGTTGATCTGCGGATTAACAGATCTGCAGTTCAAATATTACCCCATTCACCCTACGCTCAGTTATCCGGATAAGTTGCGAATTAGGTCACAATTCGAATAAATGCAGTAGTGTGAACGCAAGAAGATTTTTGTAATGCGAATTTTCAAAATCCTGCAAGCGAGGTGGATTTCTAAGCACGATCCGAATAACTTACCGGAATCGACACCTGTACAGATCTTACTGCGCATGTGTGCAGATAAGTGCGGGTATCTATGAATGCTTGTTTATTACTTTAGCGATTGCACCAAACATATTTGGAGGTCACCACTCACTACAACATGAGGAAACAAAAATTTATTTTGCCATCTTATACTTCTCAAGAATGCTGTAATGTCTTTTGAGTTGCATTTGTCGTCACAAATTTTTGTTGGTATTTTAAGATTTCCTGTACGGCACATGCGCGAGTGTTCAAAACAGGAAGTTAAACCTGAAATTTTCAACGTGTGATTCGGTTTCGCTTAGCGTGTATGAACGCAATACCAAATCGAATTCCTCATGAAAAATTCGGAAAAAAATGCGCATTTTTGCAACTGTAATGTGAATGGAGTATATGGTGCTACCTACTTGCATACCGAGATTTAATTGATCTGCCCCTGCTGGGATAGTGTGTACGGGAGACAGGGAATCCATTATCAAGTGCGCATCATGTTTGATACGCAGACTAGTTAGTCAATAGGCAATAAAATGCTTATTTAATTTTAAGTGTTTTTTTAAAAAATGTATGAGATTAAATGGTCAACAACTCTTCATATATGAGATTCATATTTCACAGTAAAACTTTGTAAACAACTCATAGAAATATGATAAATTCTATTTTACCACCACAGCAGCAGTTATCGCAATTATTCTGAAATTTGTGCCTGCCAATGTGACTTCCATAGATGGCAAGCCTCTGTAATAATCATTGAAGAGATTATTACAAAAAATCAAACTTAAAAAAAAAAGAACTAACTTTGAATGTCTGAATGGACTCATTAACCATTGGTAAGTAAGGGAAAATTTTCCTTTACCGCAGGAAAATCCATTTTTTGACCAAAATAAACAATTGTTTTCCCTTTAATAATAACACAAAATAACAAATCCATAACTATTTTAAGGAAAATGTTTATTTTATTTATATTTTATTTATTTATATTTTGTGGAGAAGTCAGCATTGTGAACTTTTTAATTGAATACATGAAAAATTATATGCATTTTTGTTTTTTTGTTGTTTTTTTTTCATCCAACTTGTCTTAGTGGCAAACCAGGCTCTGCCTCGGCCTATCACTGGTATATTCATAATAATAATAACTGGTAAGCTGTACAGAAATTTGAGAAATATGTTACAGCCACATAACAATATTCACGATTAAAAATATTGATATACTATTTAAACTAGTAAAAGAAAATAATGTTTTAGAAATTTCAAGATAAAGTTACTATTTATAGATTTTTAGGTTCTTTGGTCTTTCCTGTTAAAAAAAGACCTTTTAGTGAATATGATTCTATATGTAGCTTGCAGGTTCAGTAATGTAGCATACAATTATACTTAACAATTTTTTTTTATTGCTTGTGAGCATACGTGATTTTTCTTATGTTTTAGCAATGATTGGCTAATAGTAATTTGCCAAAAGCCACGCTGATGCCAATATTATCTCTAAAACAGAGATTTTTTTACGTAAGCTTGTAAGCTTATGTCCTCCAAATATGAGCTTAAAGGAACATTCAGTTTATTATGAGCTGTATTACTGTAGTAAATCATTATTAAGAACATTTTACATCACAATTATAATTATGATAGACTGCAATTAGTGGTTATAATGTTTGGGTTTATATAATTAGTGGCACATTTTGTCACGGTCGGCAGTAATGTTCACCCAAAATGAATACTCATAAATCTTCTTGGAGATCACAGGAGCACCTTATCTCCCATATGCCATGCAACTTACCAGCTATTGCAGAGGTACATGAAGGTGAGGGAGAAATGCTTAAAAGGTTAAAGACCTAGGCTTATGGAGTACAATTCAGGTTGGATTTCACATTTTCCACCTCAGAGTTGGTGCTGAATGCTTTCCTGGTAATTTAAGGTTTTTAACCTCTAGCTTGTATTGAGGCATGAGTGTATGAAAGCCCGACAGGTGCCATCACACCCAGTCTGTTTTGACGCAAAGGCTGTGCCAATACACTTGTACATTATATTATGGATATTAAATATATATATCTACCTGGGTTGTAAGTTGTTTTTGAGTACCTGAATTAAAGTTTATCCATTAGGTGTAGTTATTGCACCTGATTGCACAACAGCTTACCACTCAAGATAAATAAGGAAATATTAATAAGATATGTAAACTATTATACACTATGATCTCAGTAACTTTTTTTGAAAGGAAAAGCAGCTCTGAGCTCCATAACAAAGAAAAGTACATGATATTTGGTGGCTTACAGCAACAACTGCTATATTATAGTCAAAGTTATCTTTGTGACATGAGAGATGGTGTGTAAAAGATGAGTAGTTTAAATTATTGCTGAAATAGATTGCTGTGAATCAAGTTATGCAATGTATCTGGGTACTATTATCATATAATGATCTATATTATAATAGCAGGTCAGCCGAAGTCTCCTTTTCACGTTTTTCTACCAAACTTCAATGATTTGTTCACAACTGACAGGTGTTAGCAATACCTTACAGCAGTGGGAAGATAGTGGCCATAGTTTGAATTTGATAATAACTGTTAAAAGTATATTTTGAAGGCATTTTCTAGCCTTCGTGAATTTCTATAAAGCTTCAGCATGTGTGACAGGTATTATATACTGTCAATAACATTACATCAGATAGCATGGTTTGGTGGCCCAATGGTACCGTCCTTGGTTGCCAAACACAGCAGAAAAGTACCCTCTACCAGGGCGACTGATAGATGTTTTACAGATATTCACAGATATGTTTCTAGATAGATAGATAGGT